ATAAATTACCCAGTTTCCGGCAATTCTTTATAACAGTATGAAAACAGACTAATGGACCCTTCTGGTTGAGGGAATACAGCCATCTCTACTTGTTTGACTATTTCCTTTCTATTCATCTCTATTTCCCAGGAAGTGTTTATCCAAGTGCAATAGGAGGTATTGGGGACCACGCAGTCCCCTCAGTGTTCTGTTAGTGAATAGTTGAAGGTTGATCAGTGATCTCCTGCATTTTCAGTCTGGCATGGAAAAGCCCCCGTGTAACTGGTAAAGGTATCAGTGAGCACCAGGAGGTATCTAAATCCACTAGGAGCCATAGGCATCACGTTGACGTCCATTTACCAGTCTTCCCTGGCAAGATTCTTCTGAATTGTACTGCCTTGGCCAAAAGAGGTATGGGAGGGGCTGGGCGCAGTGACTCACACCTGTAATCCTGGCATTTTGGGAGACCAATTCGGGTGGATCATGAGAGGTCAGGGGTTCAAGACCATCCTGGCCACATCCCATCTCTACTAAAAATACAAAAAGTTAGCTGGGTTTGGTGGTGGGTGCCTGTAATCCCAGCTACTCAGGAGGCTGAGGCAGGATAATCACTTGAACCTGGGAGGAGGAGGTGGCAGTGAGCCGAGATTGCGTCATTGCACTCCAGCCTGGGCAACAAGACGGAAACTTCACCTCAACAAAATAAAAAAAGAAATCTGGGCGCGGTGGCTCACTCTTATAATCCCAGCGCTTTGAGAGGCCAAGGTGGGTGGATCACGAGGTCAGGAATTCAAGACCAGTCTGGCCTAGATGGTGAAACCCTGTCTCTACTAAAAATACAAATATTAGCTGGGCATGGTGGCACGCACCTGTAATCTCAGCTACTTAGAAGTCTGATGCAGGAGAACTGCTAATACCTGGGAGGGAGAGGTTGCAGTGAGCTGAGATTGCACCACTGCACTCTAGCCTGGGTGACAGAGCAAGACTCCATCTCAAAAAAAAAGTAAAGAGAAGAGGAAATTTCCCAGGGAAGTACCTTGGCTTATTTCATAAAGAGGTACTGAAGGAAGCAGAGGCATGTGGAGGACTTCCCCACCCCGTGCAGCTATTTGGGGCATGGCATCTGAAATTTGTTATTTTAGAGTTACCCCTTTGATGACCTTGGAAATGGACTGACTGCAGTAATCTGTTTAGGCCTCTCCATGGCTCACATCAATGTTAGTATTTCTGTTTGTTGCACATTTGATTTCCTTGTTGTTGGCATTTAGAAGGCCCCATTTTCCAGATCGCACCATGGGCATGGACCACAGAGATTACATCTTGTCAGTCTGTAGAAACAGTCAAGGCCTTGTCTTCTTGAACCACATCTCTGTTATTGAAACTCTAGAAGTCAGCTGGGTATGGTGGCTATGCCTGTAATCCTAGCACCTTGGGAGGCCAGGGTGGGCAGATCACCTGAGGTCAGGAGTTCAAGACCAGCCTGCCCAACATGGCAAAATCCCGTCTCTAATACAAATACAAAATTAGCCAAGCGTGGTGGCCACTGCACCCCAGTGACAGAGCAAGACTCCGCCTCAAAAAAAAAAAAAAGAAACTGCTTTTCTGAGTTCTGTGAGTTGTTATAGTGAATTATCAAACCTGAGGGCACCGTGGGAACCTCCAGATTTGCAGGCAGTTGGTGAGAAGTACATGTGGTCTGAGGACACCCAAGCTTGCGGCTTGCATCTAAAGCGAGGGCAGTCTAGTGGGGGCTTGTGGCCTTAACCTGTGGCATTTGATGTAACATCAGGGAGTTGACATCAGAATTGCATCACACAGGCCAGGTGCAGTGGCTCATGCTTATAATCCCAGCACTTTGGGAGGCAAGGTAAGAGGATGACTTGAGCTTGAGTCTGAGGCCACAGTGAGCTATGACCGCAGCACTGCACCCCAGTCTGGGTGACAGGACAAGACCCCAACTCCAAAAAGAAAAAAGAAAAATCGCAAAGAATTGCATGGCAGACTGCCTGTCTTTAACAGCTTTAACTGTTGCAGGAACTTTTTTTTTTTTTTTTTTGAGAGGGGGTGGGGAGACACAATCTCTGCTGGTGATTCTCCTGCCTCAGCCTCCCAAATAGCTCCGATTACAGGCATGCACCACCACGCCTGCCTAATTTTTGTATTTTTAGTAGAGACAGGATTTCACCATGTTGGCCAGGCTGGTCTTGAACTCTTGCTGGGATCACAGGCGTGAGCCACCATGCCTGGCCACCTTTAGAGTTTTCTTACCACCTGGTTTTTCTCTCGATATATTTCTCTCATTTCCTGCTTTAAAACTCTAGCTTGGAGTCTAGGCGCAGTAGCTCATGCCTGTAATCCCAGCACTTTGGGAGGCCGAGGTGGGCGGATCACTTGAGGTCAGGAGTTGGAGACCAGCCTGGGCAACATGTTGAAACCTTATCTTTACTATTTTTACAAAAGTTAGTCAGACGTACAGGCGGGTGCCTGTAGTCCCAGCTACTTGGGAGGCTGAGGCAGGAGAATTGGCTTGAACCTGGAGGTGAAAGTCACAGGGAGCCAAGGTTGTGCCACTGCACTCCAACCTGGAAGACAGAGCGAGAGTCTGTATCCAAAACAAACAAACCCTGTAGCTTGGGATCAGCCTTCTCTTCTATTGTTTTTTTTTAAAAACTAAAAATTAAAAATAGATGTAAATGCTATGTTGCTGAGGCTGGCCTCAAACTCCTGGCCTCAAGTGATTCTCCTGCCATGACCTCCAAAACTGCTGGAATTGAAGATGTGAGCACTGCACCCAGCCTTGTGTTTTATTCTACGTAAAAAACAGTACAGGATTATCTTCCAGAGCTAATTAATATGTTCAAATAACCACCAACCGCATTAAGGAAAAATGTCACTCGACAGCAAATAATCAATCCAGACCAATATGATCACACTTGCTGTGAAGGTGAGAAAAGTTCATCTTTATTACGTTTCCCCAAGAGATGCACTGCACTGTTCTCTTGAAAACACACAGCTCATGTCCTCCTTTAGAACACACATCCTCTTTAAAGTAACATACAAACATGCCAATACAAGGTAAAAAATTACATCTGAATTCTCACAATTCAAACGTACACTAAATATCAAATAAAAATTTATTTTTACAAGAATTTAGGGGAACTACCGCATAGCTATAAATGTAATACATACATTAACCAAGTATCACAGATAAAAAGTGTGCTCCCTTCAGCAGCACATGTAATAATAGATAAAAAGATTGAAAGGTAAACGATTTAGGATAAAAAGAATCCTCTATTAAAAAGGAAAACAAAATGATATTTATGTGTGTATAACAGTTATAACACCCATCACACAACTTTATAGAAACAGCTTCTATTCAAAAATACCAGTATTTCCAAAATATTTAAAATAAATGTAGTAATAATTCTATGCCCACCTTTTTCAAAATAAACCAATAAAATATATAGTATATATTAGACATGTTAGTATATATATCTAAGACATGTTAAAAATCACAACTTGAATGCTCACAATTCAGTCACAAACCTAAACAGCAAATAAAAATGTCTATGATGAAAACTTAGGGGAACTACCAATAGCTATAAATAGAAGAGATTATTATGTAAGTATCATAGATAAAAAGTGGACTTGCTTCAGAGGTACATATAATAATACAGAAAACAACTTAAAGATAAAAGATTTAGGATAAAAAGAATTCTGTCTTAAAAATGAAAAGAAAATTATCTTTATGTATCTATAACAGCTATAACTCTCATCAAAAAACTCTACAGGAACAGCATGTTTTCAAAAGTACAACAATTTCCAAACTATTTAAAACAAACCTATTAATAATTCAATGGCCCACATTTTCCAAACAAACCAATAAAATGCATAGTGTGAATGAAGTTATCTGTTACGGTCTATGGCACTCATATTTCACAAAGAATTCCGTGCCAATCTGAGTGTCTGCCGTGTGCCTTCAAATGCTCCAGGAGTGCGGCAGCCAAGTCCGTAGGAAACAGGGCCTCCAGGTTTGGCCCCAGGGAGGTTGGAATTCAGCAATATCAAAAGGGAGGTGGTGCTGCAGGAAGGGGTGGAACCAGAAACACCCTTGGTTTCTCACTGTTCTCTATGGATTCCTAGAAGTAGCCCCCCCGTCCTAAGAGGACAACATGATCACTGTGTTCAGCTCCATCTAGAACAGTCCAGGTTCTTGTAGATAATCTGCACAAATGGCTGCTCTCCTCCTTCCTGGTGTCTGCCATTAGCATTGGAATAAACTTTCTGCTGAAAATCCGCATCTCCCTGGGCCCGGTGTTCTGGAAGTGAGAGAGAGGATGTCACACTTCAGGGAGGCAGCTCTCTAGACAGGAAGGTTATTCACGTCCCACGTCAAGTCTAACTAGAGTTCAGAGCAATTGGGAAATGCAATTTTATCTCCTGACTTTCATTCTATACCCTGCTTCTGAACCACTGTGTTCAACTGTGATACTTGCACTTTGGTGACCCTGACTCCAAAACTCAGTACACCCAAGGTCAGCCCCAGTGATCTGCTTTATAGCAAGGACTTTGGGTGGGTCTGCCCAGGGAGTAGGGCACCCTCAGAGAATGTGGCTTTGGACCTCATCACAGCTGGGGCCTTTTGTGTCACTTCAGAGCTAAACTTGTAACCATGCTAGATCCGTTTCTAATGTGACAACATCACGAACCACGAGTCCAGAAGCCTAATCCATCGTCCTACCTCCTCATGATGAAGTCTCATGCTCTGCTCAGCGTGGTCAGCTGCACAAGATGTAAACCAAAACTCCACTGAACCCTCAACCCAAATCGGTAACTCAAGTGCATCAATCATAATGAAGCTCCCCAAACTCAGTATTTGTGATTATTTTTGAGTCAGGGTCTCACTCTGTTGCCCTGGCTGGAGTGCTGTGGCAGGATCAGGGCTCCCTGCAGCCCCAACCTCCCAGGCTCCAGCGATCCTCCCGCCTCAGCCTCCTGAGTAGTTGGGAGTAGAGATGCCTCCCACATCGCCTAGCTAATTTTTGTATTTTTGGTGAGAGGGAATCTTGCCACATTGCCCAGGCTTGAAGCTGGATCAAGCAATTGGTTCCTCGGATTTCCGAAATAGACCCCAATATTCTTTCTTTACCCCGGAGGACGCAGGCAGATGTACCTTCTCTCAGGCCGATGACCTCAGGCCTCCATGGTCCCTGGAGCTCTACGAAAGGTGGCACGATCTCGCGCCCACACCCAGTGCTCTGGGTCGTAAGCCTGGATCTGGAAAAACAAACGCCCTTTGAGAAGATGGGGACTCGCCAGGATACCCCTCCCTCCCCTCATCCAGCCTCCAGCCCACCCGATTCCCCCCCATCTCCACCTCCCCATGCCCCACCCACCTCCTCCAACTCCTCCAGGGAAACCCAGGCCCTGCAGCGCATGGAATGGAAGAACTGGAACCGAAGCTTATGGAACAAGGCTTTCTGAGAGGGTTTCTTCTCGGCCCCCGAGCGCATGGAATAGAAGAACTGGAACCGACGCTTATGGAACGAGGGTATCTGAGAGCGGTTCTTCCTGTACAGGAAGTAGATGATGTTTTGTTTGGGGGTCTCGCTGTCCTCCTCCATGTCATTGGCCAGGTAACTGGGGACAGAAATCAGGTTACTGCTTAGGGGCACCACCAGGAGAGACCTCGGCTGAGGTCAGCTTCCCAGAGGAGGGCAGGGGACTGTCCTCAGCTCAGGACTGACACCCACCCTGCAGAGAGTCACGCCTTCCTCAGAGGGCTCTGCTGGACAGAGACCTGCTGAAAGGCATCTCCCACTCCTTCAGGATAGAGACAAAAACCCAACTGGTGACCAAGAGTGATGGCTTACGCTTGGAATCGCACACTGGGAGGCCGAAGCAGGAGGATCACTTGAGGCCAGGAGTTTGAGATGGGGCTGGGCAACATAGCAAGACCCTCGTCTCTATTAAAAATATAAAATATACGCCGGACGTGGTGGCTCATGCCTGTAATCCCAGCACTTTGGAAGGCTCAAGCCGGTAGATTGCTTGAGACCAGGAGTTCGAGACCAGCCTGGTCAACATGGAGAAACCCCATCTCTACTAAAAATGCAAAAATCAACCTGGTGTGGTGGCACAGCCGTTAGTCCTAGCTACTCAAGAGGCTGAAGCATAAGAATTATGTGAACCCAGGAGGCAGAGGTTGCAGTGAGCTGAGATTGGGCCACTCCATTCCAGCCTGAGAGGCACAGCAACACTCTGTCTCAATAAATAAATAACTGTCCAGGTGTGGTGGCACAGCCCTGTAGTCGGAGCTAATCAAGAGGCTGAGGTGGGAGGATCTCTTGAGCCCAGGATATAGAGGCTGCACTGAGCTTTGATCTCAACACTGCACTCCAGCTTGTGGGACAGGGCAACTCTGTCTCAAAAAAATAAAAGAAATTGAATACATTGATATTTTGCCAGGACCCTGCCTTCTACATTCATCTAGTCTAATGAGACTGGGAGAAATCAGGGCATATGACCTAATCCCAATGTCACATTATCATAGGATGTAACTGGAGAGCTACGGGCATGCTGAAGTTGGAAGATGAGGGAAGGCACGACAGAGGCTGTGGGGTGAACTGACTTCAAGGACTGTGTCCTTCCCTTCAGAACCACATGTGTGCGGGACACCCAGACAGAAAACACAAACACAAAGTCAGTGGAGTGCATTTGGAAGGAGCAGTGAAGCCAAGCCAGGAAACACCAAGATGGCGAGCCAGTGTGGTTGTAGAGATTGTAGAGAGGGTGGAATTGGCACTGTGGACCCTGGCCTCGATTTAGAAAGACATCAGCTAGGCCGAGCGGTGTGGCTCATGCCTGTAATCCCAGCACTTTGGGAGGCCGAGGCAGGCGGATCACAAGGTCAGGAGATCGAGATCATCCTGGCTAACACAGTGAAACCCCGTCTCTACTAAAAATACAAAAAAAAAAAAATTAGCCGGGCGCGGTGGTGGCGCCTGTAGTCCCAGCTACTTGGGAGGCTGAGGCAGGAGAATGGTGTGAACCCAGGAGGCAGAGCTTGCAGTGTACCAAGATGGTGCCATTGCACTCCAGCCTGGATGACAGAGTGAGACTCCATCTCAGAAAAAAAGAAAGACGTCTGCTAAGGCAGTTGTTCAGGTGGGCAGTGAGGGCGTTGTGCTTTGGAAAGATGCTCAGGCTGCACTAGGAAGCCCCCTGGCTTGGGAGAGGCTCCAGGAGACCCCGTCAGGGAGCACTGAGGGGACCTGAACTGTGGTCTCCATCATGGGAACCCGGAGGAGGTCGATGGCGTTTGCGGTTGATGTGGGAAGGAGAGAGAGAAGAACCAGAAAGGCTGCTTGCTGGGGGAAGTGTTGTGTCCGCCTCTCTGCTCCTTTTCCCTTTTCTTCTCCCCTTAGGAGTGGTTTATGGTTCCTTTTGTTTTATTCTTTTATTTGTACACCGGTGTTGGAGTTTTTGTTTGTTTGTTTGTTTGTTTGTTTTGGGAAAAAGTCTTGCTCTGTCACCCAGGCTGGAGTGCAGTGGCTCAACCTTAGCTCACTGCAACCTCCCCATCCTGGGTTCAAGCAGTTCTCCCACCTCAGCCTCCTGAGTAGCTGGGATTACAGGTGCACACCACCGTGCCTGGCTAATTTTTCTATTTTTAGTAGAGACAGTGTTTGGCCATGTTGGCCAGGCTGGTCTCGAACTCCTGACCTCAGGTCACCCGCCTACCTCGGCCTCCCAAAGTGCTGGGATGACAGGCATGAACCACCGCGCCCAGCCTGAGTTTCTTTTTAGAAACAACAGTCTAAGAACAAGATAGTATAATCCTGTCTTTTTTGTACACAGAGTAAAGAGGACAAATAGGTGAAAGGATAAATGAAAGGCTGGAATCCCACTTCCCCCGCTGTCCCAGGGCATTGGATATTGATGGATAGGAAGAAGCAAACCACTCACAGAGCCAGGAAGAAATGAATGCGTTGGTACTGCCAGGAGAAGAGGCCGGCCCGGCTAAAATATGCTATGACCATAGCCAGGAGATACTGATGGAGAGAAAGGAACACAGAGAGGGAGAGGTCACATCTTGGAAGAGGAAGATTGTGGAGAGGGGGAATGAGGGTCTGGGGAAGGGCTGCACCTCAGAGAAGGGACCTCAGTGTTGGGGTAGCTGTACTTATTTGGAAATGGCGGGTTGGAGGGATATTCGAAGGTTGGATGCAAATCTGAGAAGCCGGAGGAAGGGTTTTCGGTGATGCTCCCAGGATGGTGGACTCCAGATGGGATCTTTGGAGGGGGTGTGTCTAGGTGGGCTGGTGTCAGGAGGGTCTTTTGTGTGCCGGGCAGAGAACTGTACCAAAGAGCTGAGAGTAGAGGGGCCAGGAGCTCCAGGACTGCAGCCAGACTGTGACCCAGGGCTGAGATCCCAGAGGACCCATAGGAGAGATGGGCTATTCATTCACTTGGCAAGAGACCAGCAGAGTCCTGAGAGAGATGCTGACAAATCATAAAAAGACCAAGAACAGCTGGGAGTGGCGGCTCAAGCCTGTGATGCCGGTACTTTGAGAGGTGGAGACAGGAGGATCACGTGAGCCCAACAGTTCGAGAACAACCTGGGCAACATAGAGAGACCCTGTTTCTACAAAGATTTCAAAAATTCGTTCAGCATGGTGGCATGTGCTAGTCCCAGCTCCTCAGGAGACTGAGTAAAGACGATTGCTTGAGCCCAGGAATTAGAGGCTTCAGTGCGCTGTGATCATGCCACTGCACTCCATCCTGGGGAGCAGAGCTAGACTCTCAGAAAAAAAAAATATTTGAGTGCCAAGACTCAAGACTGTGGGAGCTGGTCGGGCACAGTGGCTGATGTCTGTAATCTCAGCACTTTGGGAGGCCAAGGTGGGTGGATCACCTGAGGTCAGGTGTTCAGGACCAACCTGGCCAACATGGCAAAACCCCGTCTCTACTAAAAACACAAAAATTAGCCAGGCGTGGTGGTTCACGTCTGTAATCCCAGCTGCTTGGAGGCTGAGGCAGGACAATCACTTGAACCTGGGAGGCGTCGGCTACAGTGAGTCAAGATCAAGACACTGCCCTCCAACCTGGACAACAGAGCAAGACTCTGTCTCACAAAAGAAAAAAAAAGGAGCATCTGGTGGGAGGTGGTGGAGGGAGAACTGTGGGTTTGGAAGCGGTGCCCTCCCCCAAGCCGTGCATTAGAACAGGAGCACAGTTACATGGAGAACAACCTTACCTTGTCCGACATCCTCAGATCTTTGTCCCAGGCCAGGAATCTTTTAATGACAGGATCCTCTGTGATTAGAGAGCAGATGTCAGCGTGAGAAGCAGGGCAGGGTTTCCGTGGGAGCATCAGGGCAGCGAGGAGAAGTGTGCCTCCCGGGGGGAAGTTTCAGGATTGTGGCCACGGGTGAGGGGGATGGGAGAGGGGAGAATGACTTTCACTGGGCAAGGGAGAGAGGCTCCTGCTCTGAGACTCCCCTGGGAAGAGGCCGAAGGAGGCCCTGGGTGTGAGAATCTACAGGATGTAGGGCTGGGAATAAGCCAGGACACCCTCCCAGCAGACCCGGAGGGACCGCTGCAGAGTCATAAAGGAATTCCCATCATTTCCTCATGCGACAGTCACATCAGGGTGTGACCATGGCCTTGGTATCCCCCACTATGGATGGAGACACTTAGGTTTAGAAAAGTTAGTAAGAGACATTAAGTTTCAGAGGGCACAGCTGAAACCGCTGTCTTTGTTTATTGATTTTGTTTTTCTTTATTTGATTTTTATTTTTATTTATTTATTTGTTTTGAGACAGAGTCTCTCTCTGTGGGCTAGGCTGGAATGCAATGGCGCGATCTCGGGTCATGAGCTACCATGCCCAGCCTTGGTTTTTTTTTGAGACAGGGTTTTGCTGTGTCACCCAGGCTGGAGTGCAGTGGTGCAGTCATAGCTCACTGCAGACTGAAAGTCGTGAGTTCAAGCAGTCCTCTTGCCTCAGCCTCCCAACGTGCTGGGATCTCAGGCATGAGCCGCCGCACCTGGCCCGAAACCAAGCTTTCTTATCCCAAGCGCTGACCTTTATCAAGTCTAGCCTAATCCTCTATCGTCTCCTAAGCATCCCTCATTAGTGATCACTTCAGAGTCCTCCCACATGGAGAGCTCACCCACTGGGGGCATATTTTTCCCATTGGAAAAGAGTGGTTATTGGAAGTTTCCTCTTTTTAGAAAGAACAGGATTGGAGGTGCTCTCTGGGGTGTCCTCCTACCAAGCAGCCTGTTGAAGGCCTCGTGGTGTTCGGGGAGCACGAGCGACACTCGCCGTCGCTTCAGCTTCATCTTGAGGCCACACAGCGTCTCCGCCACCCAGGTCTCCTCGGGCTCAGGGGCGAGCTCCTTCTCTGGCTCCTCGTCAGATTGATCCAACCACTCCCTCTTCCTTTTCCAGCAAAGGGACCTACATGAGGGGCTGGGATCTACCCCAAGGGCTGAGTAAAGAAACCAGACTAGCGTGTAATGCTTCTGCAATTGATCACCTTAGACCCCGACCCCAAACCCCAAAGCACTCTCCATCCTCCCCAGCCTTGCAGACTGCTGGCTTCTCCAAGCCATCTTTCTGACTTTCTCCTCTGTCAACCCCATGTGCTGCTCCTTCTCCTCCCCATTCTTCCGTTTCTCTGTCCTCAGAACATTTCCTCACGTCCTTCCCTGGTCCCTGGCTCTCTGAGTCCCTCTTTTTGTTTTGTTTTGTTTTGTTGTTTTGTTTTGTTTTCAGACAGAATCTAACTTTGTCTCCCAGGATAGAGTGTAGTGGTGCAATCTCAGCTCACTGCAACATCTGTCTCGCGGATTCCAGTTATTCTCCTGCCTCAGCCTCTCTGGTAGCTGGGATTACAGGTGCCTGCCATAATGCCCAGCTCAATTTTGTACTTTTAGTAGAGATGGGGTTTCACCATATTGGCCAGGCTGACCTCAAACTCCTTGCCTCAAGTGATCCGCCTGCCTTGGGCTCCCAAAGTGCTGGGATTACAGGTGTAAGCCACTGCACCTGGCCTGAATTTCTCCATTCTTCCCACACACCCTCCTCAGGTTCTCCTTCCTGACCTCTGACCCTTCTTTTTTTTGAGACAGCATCTCACTCTCTCACCCAGACTGGAGTGCAGTAGCGCAATCTCGGCTCACTGTGACCTCTTCCTCCCAGGCGCAAGCGATTCTCCTGTCTCAGCCTCCCGAGTAGCTGGGATTAGAGGCACGCACCACTACTGCCCAGCTAATTTTTGTACTTTTAGTAGAGATGGGGTTTCACTATGTTGGCCAGGCTGGTCTTGAACTCCTGACCTCAGGTGATCTGCCTGCCTCGGCCTCCCAAAGTGTTGGGGTTACAGGCGTGAGCCACTGCACCCAGCCCCCTTTCTTCGTCTTAGTCAATCCTATCACACCTCTTCTTGCTCCAGTCCCCTCACCTGATGGTCCCGACACTTCATCATCCACCACCTCCTGGAGGGAGTACTCCGAGGTGTTCGACCGGGGGCTCTCTTCCTTATCCTCGGGGAGCAGGGTCGTGATCTTTCCCAAAATCTGTTCCATCCCACAGAACATAGTCTCTGTTCTGTCCAAGGCCTTTTTCTGGACTCTGCTAGGAGCCAGAAGTGTGTTATGAATTCTCGAGGCTGGGAGAAGTCAGGAGTGGCGAACAGCTCTGAGAAGATACTGTTGTCCACCTCAGCTCCCAGGCGCCCACGGAGTCCAGTCCTCCAATCAGGAAGGCTGGAATCTCTGATGTCATTGGCCATTCCAACCTGGCAACCAGTTTGAAGAAAAACACATGTAACTGCCAGGCTGATCTCTTGTCCCAGAGATGCTGAGTGAATGGTATCTCCTGCCACTGTCCCGACCTCAGACCACTGTCCATAAGCATCTTCAGGGTCTCCGTATCCCTCTGTTCCCTGTCCCAGCAGAGGCTGTGTTCTCTCCACTCAAAGCCTGAAGCATGTTGGGGTCTCCTCTTCTCTGTACATGCCCATTTCAGAGAACAGGGTGGGAAAGAACTAGGGTAAGCAGAAACAATGAAACCTTACAAGAGTGAGATGATCATGTACAAGAGATCCCAGGAACACTGACTTGATGAAAAAGTCACATCAGATTTGACTCAATTTGGCAGAGCTTTTCTGCCGAATGTTCACTGACATTCACTGTCCGAGATTCTGTACTGGGGGTACACGCATCCTCTGCCCTAAGAGGAGACATTTTGAGGCCTGAAAATCATAGGAATCTGCCCATGAGCTCACACATATTTCTACTGGTGTCCCCAATTTCAGGGAGTCCGTGGATTACCTAAAGCCAGCCCCTCCAGTTCGGCTAAGCAACTCTAGTCTATATATCACATTTTCTATCATATGTATTGCTCTAAACTCAGAAATTTCCCTACCATTTATGGATTCTATTAATAAAATATCGCATGTACAAAAAGACTAAATCGAAAAATCTCAGCTGTGTGCAGTGGCTCGTGCTTGTAATCCTAGCACTTTGGGTGGCCAAGGGAGGAAGATTGCCTGAGGCCAGCAGTTCAAGACCAGTATAGGCAACATAGCAAGACCCCATCTCTAAAAAAACAAAACCAAACAAAATTAGCCAGGTGTGGTGGCTGGCACCTGTGTTGCAGCTACTTGGGAGACTCACGCGACAGGAAGATGGCTTGAGCCCAGGAGTTGGAAGCTGCAGTAAGCTATGATCTGGCCACCGCACTCCAGTCTGGGCAATACAGCAAGATGTTGTGTCAAAAAAATTTTTTTGATAAAAAATAAAAGTTGTATGACATTCAGAGACCATCTGAAAAACCTGGGGGTTCCTGGCCAGCCTCAGTGGCTCACGCCTGTAATCCTAGCACTTTGGGAAGCCCAAGTGGGTGGATCACTTGAGGTCAGGAGTTTGAGACTAGCCTGGCCAACATGGTGAAACCCCATCTCTACTAAAAATACAAAAAAATTAGCCAGGCATCGTGGCGGGTGCCTGTATCCCAGCTACTTGGGAGTGGTGGGCTGGAGAATCACTTGAACTCGGGGTGTGGAGGTTGCAGCGAGTCAAGATCGCACCATTGCACTGCAGCCTGGGGGTCTACAAGAGGAAACTCCCTGTCTGTAAAAATAAAGAAGCTGTGGAGTGATGTTCCCACACGCTCCCTAGCAGGGTGCGGGCTCCCTGGGAGTCTCTCGCTCATGGGAAGCCCAAATCTGAACGAGAAGCAAGATCCCGCTGTGGACATTACCCATACATAAATAGGATACTCTGCTTTCTCAGAGTTCACACATTTTGCATTCATGACCCTGTTATAACCGTCAGAGCTGGGGTGGGTCTTCTATCAACAGAAAACAGCTTGCTGTCTCTCTCCTGGTTAAAAGGCTTTCAAAGATTAGAAGATCAACTGTTCTGACCCCATTAATTTTCTTCTTTTGTGGAATGGAAACGGCTCTGCATTACTTCATCCTTCAACAGCCTGTTTTCGCTAATTCCCTTCCTCTTCCTGCCACCTTGTCTAGACACACTACACTGGAGGCTCAGTGCCCATCTTACATGATGTTGACACATTGTCCAAAAAATGGGCAAACCAGGCACGGTGGCTCATGCCTGTAATCCTACCACTTTAAGAAGCCGAGGCAGACAGATCACCAGGAGGTCAGAAAGTTCGAGACCAGCCTGGCCAACATGTTGAAATCGTCTTCTACTAAAAATACAGAAAAAATTGGCTGGCGAGGGGAGTGCACATCTGGTAATCCCAGCTACTTGGGAGGCTTGAGGCAGGAGAATCACCTTGAACCTGGAAGGCAGAGGTTGCAGTGAGCCGAGATTACGCCACCTGCATTCCCAGCCTGAGTGACAGAAGCGAGAACCATCTCAAAAAAAAAAAAAAAAAAACAAGGCTAGCCAGATTTGGTCGGTCTGATACATTCAGAAAAAAGCAAAACAGCCACCTCTGACCTTTTCTTTTCCTGCAATGATGCAGTTTCATACAACACATGGCTGTAGGTATGCTGCGAAATATCATTCAAGTGAAACAGAAGGGCTTTCCTGGCTGGACACAGTGGTCACTCCTGTAATCCCAACACTTTGGTTGGCCAATGGGGGAAGGATTTGTTGCGGCCAGGAGTTCAAGGCTGCAGTGAGCTGTGATCCCACCACTGCATTCCAGGCTGGGCATCAGAGTGAGGCCTGTCTCTAAAAAACCCTTCGCTCCCCAAAAGGATTTGCAAATACCAGCCTTTCGGGATGACACGAAGGAACATTAAGATGCAGATGCTGGGACCCAGCCCTATTGATTGTAGTTCAGAAACTGAGGTGGGGCCTGATTTAACTCCCTCACTGGAATCCGTTCAGGTTTGGAACTTTCTTGGCTGGACACTGCAAGAGAGATCATAAAGCAAAGTCGCTGTGGACTGAAATGAGCAGACAAGGTTTTCTGAGAGTGGTGAAATATGATTTGGGCCTCACTTGGGAGGGCTGTGGCCAGGCCTTGAGTCCTCGGCTCAGTGGGACCTTCTGAAACAGCCTCCAAGCCGCGCCCCCGCTTCCTTTGCTGTTGGATGACCCCCTCCAGCGGCTTTGGTGCCGATGGGAATAAGTCGACCTGCAGCGGAAGTTCAGCCCGAGTCTCAGCCCAGCAGCCTCCCTGCACCTGACGGGGCTCTGGTCATGCTGCCGTCTCTGCGGTTCTCTGCGGAGTCATGGTTTCTGTACCTTGAAGAGAACTTCCCCTTCTGGGACCCAGAAACCCTGGAAACCCTGAGGAAAAAAGCGAATGAAATTACTGAAGACAACTCTGTGGCGGGGAGATGGAAAAGAGGCTCTTTGGGGTTTTTTTGGTTTTTTTTTTTTGTTTTTTATTTTTTGAGACAGAGTCTCGCTCTTGTCCAGAGTGGATTGTAATGGCTCAATCTCAGCTCACTGCAACCTCTGCCTCCCACGTTCAAGCGGTTCTCGTGCCTCAGCCTCCAGAGCAGCTGGGACAATAGGCACAAACCACCATGCCCAGCTAATTTTTGTACTTGTAGTAGCCATGTTGCCCAGGCTGGTTTCGAACTCCTGGTCTCAAGCAATCCGCCTGCCTTGGCCTCCCAAAGTGCTGGGACTACAGATGTGAGCCGCCATGCCCAGCCCTCACTGTATGGATTTTCTAAAAAAAAAAAATTAAATTTATCTTATTTGACCAAAAAGTAAATTAACCTTTTCTCCTCTCTTTTAAACAGTATTTCCTTGATAAACCTTGTAATGTAAATAACTTATTTTGTGCCTTTGATATGTATCTAAATCTTTTAAAAATGCAAACGAACTTCTTGCCAAGATTACAACCCAGGAATTTTTTGTTGTTGTTGGAGACAGAATCTTGCTCTGTCACTTAGGCTGGAGTGCAGTGGTGCAGTCTTGGCTCACTACAACCTCCCCTTCCCGGGTTCAAGCAATTCTCCCATCTCAACCTCCTGAGTGGCTGAGACTACAGGCGCCTGCCACCATGCCTGGCTAATTTTCGTATTTTTAGTAGAGACGGGGTTTCACCTTGTTGGTCTGGCTGGTCTTGAACTCCTGACTTCAGGCGATCCAACCACCTTGGCCTCCCAAAGTGCTGAGATTACAGGCATGAGCCACCACTCTGGGTCACAACCCAGGAATTTTTTTCTTAAGAGCCTGAGAGTCTTGTCTTTGAAATGTAAACCTCGAGGAAGGTAGTGTCCCTATCTTCCTGTTGCCTAGGGAGTTTAGCCTAGGCACCTTGAGCTGTTACTACCTGCTGGTCAAGGAGATATGAGAAGTTTTATTTTTTCATCGGATACAGGTAATTAACTAGCATGGATGGCCACCTTGATTTCCAGGTGGATTTAGGATGAGTGTTTAAGAATGCATAGCAGGCCAGGCGCGGTGGCTCACACCTGTAATCCCAGTACTCTGGGGGAGGCTGAGACGGGCAGATCACTTGATGCCACACAGAAATCGAAAGAAGGAGTTTGAGTCCGGCCTGGCCAATATGGTGAAACTCTGTCTCTACTAAAATACCAATATTAGCTGGGCATGATGGCACATGTCTGTAATTCCAGCTACTCGGGAGGCATAGGCATGAGAATCACCTGAACCTAGGAGATGGAGGTTACAGTGAGCCAAGATCATACCAGTACACTCCAGCCTGGATGACAGAATGAGACCCTGTCTCAAAAAAAAAAAAAAAAAAAAAAACGCATAGCAAGTCCTTTTACATGAGGATGAGTTACTGTTTATCTTGAGAGCATGTATGCAATGGATTGTATCTGCCAGGCTATATAAAAAGGAGGCTTTGGCCAGACGCCATGGCTCACGCCTATAATCCTAGCACTTTGGGAGGCCTAGGCGGGCGAATTACAAGGTCAGGATTTCGAGGCCATCCTAGCTAACATGACAAGACCCCGTCTCTACTAAAAATACAAAAAAATTAGCCAGGGCCGGGCGCGGTGGCTCAAGCCTGTAATCCCAGCACTTTGGGAGGCCGAGACGGGTGGATCACGAGGTCAGGAGATCGAGACCATCCTGGTGAACACAGTGAAACCCCGTCTCTACTAAAACTACAAAAAACTAGCCGGGCGAGGTGGCGGGCGCCTGTAGTCCCAGCTACTCGGGAGGCTGAGGCAGGAGAATGGCGTGAACCCGGGAGGCGGAGCTTGCAGTGAGCTGAGATCCGGCCACTGCACTCCAGCCTGGGCGACAGAGCGAGACTCTGTCTCAAAAAAAAAAAAAAAAAAATTAGCCAGATGTGGTGGCACATGCCTGTAGTCCCAGTTACTTGGGAGGCTGAGGCAGGAGAATCGCTTAAACGGGGGAGGCAGAGGTTACAGTGAGCTGAGATCGCACCACTGCACTCCAGCCTGGGCAACAGAGTAAGACTCTGTCTAAAAAAAAAAAAAAAAAAAAAAAAGGCTTTATTTCTCTTTGCATCTCATTAATGGATCACCTGTGATGGGCATCACAGTCTGGTTTAACGCTTATTCAGTAATAAAATTGTTTTATTTTCTGAATTTGTGGAGAGAATATTCTAGGTTAACAGAATTATTTATTTTATTTATTTATTTATTTATTTTTATTTTGAGATGGAGTCTTGCTCTGTTGCCAGGCTGGAGTGTAGTGGCGTGATCTCCACTTACTGCAATCTCCACTTCCCAGGTTCAAGTGATTCCCCTGCCTCAGCCTCCCAAGTAGCTGGGACTACAGGGGTGCACCACCACACCCAGCTGATTTTTTGTGTTTTAGTAGAATTGGGGTTTCACTATGTTGGCCAGGATGGTCTTGATCTCCTGACCTCATGATCCACCCACCTCGACCTCCCAACGTTCTGGGATTACAGGTGTGAGCCACTGCGCCTGGCCTCAGAAGAATTTATTTTTAGTCTTTTCCTTACCAGTTTTTATGAAACAACTGGGCAAGAATACTGTTAGATTTCACCAAAAAATTGTGATGAAACATTGTCCTTATGATCCCATGTTTGAAAATTGACATTTTAATTGTAAACCAAAAATAAAATTCTAAGCCCCCACAACTGACTGAATGGACTCCCCTGTTGGCCAACAGGATCCAAAATAAACATGAAAAACTAATTCAGGTCATGACGGGAAGGAGGGGATCGGACATAACTTGTCATACTCTCCTCCCATCAGAGTTTGGGCACAGCTGACCAACATTAGCATTAGAATACAGGTCATAAGACAAAACAGGCTTTTTGTATCAGTAAGATACCCAACTCCAACAGACTCTGATATAGCACCACATGACAGATAGCAGTCCCTGAAGGAAATCATAGTATTTTACCCTATAATATATTTTCTTTGACACACTTTAAGATAGTCCTGCAAAGCCATCTCTTTGGGGGAAATTTGCATTCTGTAGAGAATCTCCTTCCCTTACAGAAAAGACTCCAGGTCTCTTCTGCAGAGTCTGACACCTTTTAAGATCCAATAAGAGATATTTATCATCTATTCTCTCTGAAGCCTGTTCTGAGGCTTCACCTACATAACAAGAACCTTGGTTTCCACAATCCTGATTATCTTAACTCACGCTTTTCTTTCCCTCCCTCTTTCTTTTCCTTCCTTCCTTCCTTTCCTTTCTTTCCCTTCTTTCTTCCTCTCTCTCTTTTTCTCTCTGTTTCTTTCTTTCTTTTGTTCTCTGTTGCCCAAGCTGGAGTGCAGTGGCACCATCATGGCTCACTGTAGCCTCAACTTCCCAGGCTCAAGCGATCCTCCCATCTCAGCCTCCTGAGTAGCTGGGACTACAGGCAGGCACCACCACACCTGGATAATTTTTTGATTGTTTTTTTTGTAGAGGTGGGGGTCTCGCTGTGTTGCCCAAGCTGTCCTTGAATTCCTGGCCTCAAGGGATCCTCCCAGCTCCCCCTCCCAAAGTGCTGGGATTACAGGTATGAGCCATCGCAATGGCCCATTTCTTTATGTAGTCTTCCAGCTGTTCAGCCAATGCTTAACTCTGAACCAACTGCCAATCTTTGAATCTACTAGTGACCTGAAACCTTTTCTTGGCTGACCCAATGTATACCTCCCATGTATTGATTGATGTCTTTGCCTGTAACTGCTGTCTCCCTGAGATGTATAAAACCAAGCTGTAACCCAACCACTTTGGGCTCACGTTTTGCGGACCCCCTGAGGCTGTGTCACCAGCCATGGTCACTCAAACAGGCCCAGAATAAAACTCTTTACAGACTTCGACTCTTTTTGGTCAACATAACCTAACCGTAAACATAATCTTCCTGGGGAAGGTAAGATCACAGGCATCTCTTTTCTTCGTTCGATTTGTGTGTGTATTTCCTGATTTCTCTACAGTTTTTAGGCATTCGCTGTGTGATCTAGAAAAGCTATGGAGTCTCGCTCCGTCGCCAGGCTGGAGTGCAGTGGCATGATCTCGGCTCACTGCAACCTCCGCCTCCCGGGTTCTAGTGATTCTCCTGCCTCAACCTCCCGAGTAGGTGGGATTACAGGCACGCGCCACCACGCCCAGCTAATTTTTGTATTTTTAGTAGAGACAGAGTTTCACCATGTTGAGCAGGATGGTCTCTTATCTCTTGACCTCGCGATCCGCCGCCTCAGCCTCCCAAAGTGCTGGGATTACAGGCGTGAGCCACCGCGCCCGGCCACAAATTGTTTTCTTTTTCTTTCTTGGAAAGCATCGCTGAGCATTTATCCTGTCCTAGTATTTGAGTGAAACTTAATCTTAGCATTTCAGCGCAGTAACCATGATACACCCTTTCCTTTCCTTCTCCTTATGGGAAACTCGGTTCTAACCCAGAGGCTTTGGGCTCCAGGACCCAGTCAGGCAGCCCTGGACTTGACCCTAAAAGGGAATAAAGACAAATGCGAAGTTCAGTCCGGGGTTCAGGGTTGCCAAAGCTCATAGCCTGGAGCTTCTTACCCTTTAGGCGGGGTAGAGACATTTAAAACGGCCCCTAAACTTGGGGGGCGCATAGGCTCCTGGGAAATAGAGTCCGATACTTGTCCTGGGCCCAGCGGCGGGCCCTGGGAGGCGGACTTCCGGTGCAGTGCTGCGCGTGTGCACTTCTCCCTGTGTGCGTGTTCGCGCATGCGCGCTGCCCCCGCACTGCCCTCGCTTCCTGTGCGTCCTCAGGTCACCGCTTACTCTGGTTCCCAGGCTTTGGCCTCCAGTGGACGAGAATCGCGGAGCTTGCGGGGCTGGACGCTGACCGCCAGGGCCAGCACCTAGGCGGGCGCAGAGCTGTGCGGGGCAGGGTTCGCGCGTGCCGGGTGGAGGCTCGAGCGGGGACCCCGGAGCGTGAGCCCCGGAGCCGGCGGCGCTGGGGCCAGAGGGACCGGGCGGGAGGTGGCGGAGGCGAAAGGGCGGCGGGACCCGGGCCTGGCCCGTTTGTGTCCTTGGCGGCCTGGACCAGGCCGCTGCTGTACGGTGAGCCCCAGGGAGGCGGATCTGGGCCGCGGGAAGGACACTCGCCTGGATTTGCCCTGTAGGCCCGGCCGGGGCCCCTCGGGAGCAGAACAGCCTTGGTGAGGTGGAGAGGAGGGGACCTCGCGAGCAGACGCGCGACAGCAGGCCCGCCCCGGCTTCTCGGGAGCCGTGGGACAGAGGCTGCGGAGCCCCAGGCGGGTAGGTCTTGGGTTTTCGGGCCTGGAGCGAGAAGGGCCTGGGTAAAGTCACCGTGCGTTGGGGACCTTAGAGTGTGGGGCAGGGGGAGGGTCCCGATCGCTTGCAGGAGAGACGCGTGTTTCGGTTTGAAGGCAGGGTCCGGCTGCACCGAACAGGCGCTGCATGGGAGGATCTGGGAGGACGAGGCTTACGGGGACGTGGAGGGTGTCCCCAGCCTCAGCTGCGGACGTCGTCTCCACTCCCCACTAACCCCTAACAGCCCTTCCTCCTCCTCTCCGTGCTCCAGATTTCGACCGCCTCTAAACGTCTGTCAGCACCTCTGTTCTCTCATTTAAGTGTCTGCTGATTCCCCCCTTAGCTCTGCCCTGGAGAATGGTAGTAATGCAGGAACAGTCTGCAGGGATTCTCTCTTGCTGCCTCAGTTGCTAGGGGAAGAGGCTGGGCCTTAGCAGGTGGACGACTTGACCAGGTCACCGGCTTTGTGGGTAGAGGTGCTCATAGTAGAGCTCAGGAGTCTTATCTCCCAGGCCAGTGTTCTTTCTACCGTATCCTAGTTTTCTTAATAGAAGATTATTAGGTGCAGCAATAACCAAATTCAGTTAGATAATTTAGAAACAAAACCATATTTTATACATACTCATTTCTGAGAGCTCACATACTCGATTCCTGGGGCTTTTTTTATTTTAAGCAGTTTAAAGAGACAATAAGGAAATGCGGGCGGATTCAGTGGCTCACACCTGTAATCTCAGCACTTTGCGGGGCTAGGGCAAGAGTATCCCTTGAGACCAGGAGTTAGAGACCAGCCTAGGCAACATAGGGAGACCCTGACTCTACAAAAAATACAAAAGTAGCCAGGCATGCTGGGATGCACCTGTGGTCCCAACTACTCAGGAGGCTGAGGTGGGAGGATCGATGGAGCCCAGGAGGTCGAGGCTGCAGTAAGCTGTGAATGCAACACTGCACTCCAGCCTGGGTGGTAGATTGAGACCCTGTCTCAACAAACCACAAAAATCACGAGCCATATGATGGGATTTTTTTTTTCTTTTTGCATGATGGCAGACTATTTATAAAAGGAGTCATGTTACCCATGAGAGTCTAACTCGTCTAATTACTACCTGATTATCTTAGAGTTACAAAGTTACAAGTGCATGCTGCTTCCCCATCACTCGTGTGTATGTGTGTGTGTGTGTGTGTGTGTGTGTGTGTGTGTTGAGACAGTATCTCTCACCTAGTCTGGAGTGCAGCAGCGTGGTCTCGGCTCACTGCAACCTCCACCTCCCAGGTTCGAAGGATTCTTGTGCCTCTGCCTCCTGAGGGACTACAGGCATGTGACACTACGCCTGGCTAATTATTTTGTTATTTTTAAGTAGAGAGGGGGTTTCACCATGCTGGCCGAGGCAGGCTGATCACTTGAGGCCAGAATTCGAGACCAGCCTGGCCAACATGGCGAAACCCTGTATCACTCTTTTAGGCCCTTCTGAGTGTTTGCAGGCTGAGTGTTCAGAGGGTGTTAGCCTATTGAGCTTTCTTTTGTGGTTCTTACACACGAGATTTCTGCCTTTGCAAGCCAGAGCACTTATGACTTCAATGACCTGCTTCTCCCCCTCTAGGTCTACCAGCCACAGTCTCTGCACGTTTCCAAGAGCAGCAGAAAATGAACACATTGCAGGTGAGTTTTCCTGCTTGTGTATATGTCCAACTACTTTATTTTATGATGCATTTTCAGAGATTTGTAAGAATTCATACTTCTTTTTTTTCTTTTTTTTGAGATGGGGTCTTGCTCTGTTGCCCAGGCTGCAGTGCAGTGGCATGACCTTGCTTCACTGCAACCTCCACCTCCTGGGTTCGAGCGATTCTCCTGCCTCAGCCTCCCAAGTAGCTGGGATTACAGGCATGCGCCACTATGCCCAGCTAATTTTTTGTATTTTTAGAAGAAACAGGGTTTCACCATGTTGGCCAGGCTGGTCTCAAACTCCTGACCTCAGGTGACCCCGCCTCAGCCTTCCAAAGTGCTGGGATTACAGGCATGAGCCACCGCGCCCAGCCAGGATTCGTACTTTAAAATGGGAATGTGGAACTAGACATTACCCTGTAAAATGTAGTGAATGTGGCAGATCAGCACCAAAAGTGATTTGTGAAGCTTGTATGTATGGGTAGTATATTTTAAGGCTGTTGAAATTGAGCCGCACCCAGGGCTGATATTCTTTGCAGTCATCACAAAAGGAAAATGCCGTTTGTATTAGTCCATTCTCACACTGTATAGAGAAATAACTGAGACTGGGTAATTTATAAAGAAAAGAGGTTGAATTGGCTCCCACCTGCAGGCTCTGTCATAGGAAGCATGGCTGGGGAGGCCTCAGGACACTTACAGTCATGGAGAAGGCGAAGGGAAAGCAGATACAGCATCCATCACCAGAGCAGGAGGAAGAGGGAGCAGGAGGCGCTACACACTTTTAAACAACCACGTGTTGTGATAACTCACTCAGTATCAGGAGAACAGCACCAAGAGGGAAATTGCCCCCATGATCCAGTCACCTCCCACCAGGCCCCACCTCCAACATTGGGGAATACAATTGAACGTGAGATTTGGGCGGCGACACAAACCAAAACCATATCACCATCCATGACATCATTTGCAGTGTCACCATCCGTGACATCATTTGCATTGATTATAAGGAGAAACCAATTTTGTTACTTGTGGATTTAAAATATTTTCTAGGACTTGGAAAACTTTCTTCATTCAAGTTGATATAATTATGGATAGCTTTCCTGATAACAACCATTAAATTACCGTAACTTATGGCTTATTCTTGGTGCTTAGGTAAGCAGAGGGCCTGCTGCTCAAGGAGAACTTGGTGCATATCATTTTTCCAGGGATGGAAATACTGTGGTCCAAGTAGACAGAATTCTGTTTTTACTCTTGAGTCCTAGATCATGCAGGGAATGAATGACGTGGTCATCCTTCAAATACTTGTTCTTCTTTTTGTTTGGGTTGCACAGCAAGCAATATAGTTACTCTCTTGTGAAGATTTCCTCATTTCTGTTTCTCATTTCAGTTCTCAGTGTTTTAGTTTTGTCCTTTTCACGTTGCTGAGTCAGTCAGTAAACATTACCGGTGATTTAATTGCAGTCAAATCCAGCGGGCATTTCCTAGCCCTACCTCACAGGACCCTTTGTCTGCCTTTGACATCTGTTACTTCCAAACTGATATTTCTCCATGGAGTCTCTCTTTTCTTGGCATTTAAAATGATTCATCTGTAAGTATTTATTTGTCTTTAAATGATGAAGTCTGTTTTGTTTTGTTTCCTTTTTTTCTTTTTTCCTTTTTTTTTTTTTTTTTTTTGAGACAGTCTCACTCTTTTGCCCAGGCTGAAGTGCAGTGGCATGATCTCGGCTCACTGCAAGCTCCGCCTCCTGGGTTCACGCCATTCTCCTGCCTCAGCCTCCTGAGTAGCTGGGACTACAGGCACCCACCACCATGCCCAGCTAATATTTTGTATTTTTAATAGAGACGGGGTTTCACCATGGTCTTGATCTCCTGACCTCATGATCTGCCCGCCTCCACCTCCCAAAGTGCTGGGATTACAGGCGTGAGCCACTATGCCCGGCCTTCTTTTTTTCTTTTTTTGAGATAGGGTCTTGCTCTGTCACCCATGCTGGAGTGTAGAGACGTTCTCACAACTCACTGCAGCCTCAGTCTCCTGGGCTCACACGATCCTCCTGCCTCAGCCTCCCGCGTAGCTGGGACTACAGGTGCACGCTGCCACACCCAGCTAATTTTTTTGTATTTTAGTAGAGACTGCGTTTCACCGTGTCACCCTGAGGCTGGTCTCGAACTCCTGAGCTCAGGCAATCTGCCCGCCTCGGCCTCCCAAAGTACTAGGATTGCAGGCGTGAGCCACTGCTCCCAGCCTAGAGATGTATTCTCACTGTATTGCTCAGGCTGGTCTCAAACTCCTGGCCTCAAGCAATCCTTTCACTTTGGCCTCCCAAAATGCTATAAGATTACAGGTGTAAGCCACCACACCTGGCCAATAAGGAATCTTTTTAAAAGGGGCTAGGAATAACCCATAATACTCCCTTTCTTAATACATGTGGCAGTTGAGTTAAATCTTTCAATAGTTCCCATAGTATGTCTCTTGCGTGCTCATTGTTTTGAAGAAACTGAGTTGGTTATCCTCAGTTTAGATTGTGTTACCCTTGTTTCACCTTTAGCACATTTAAAAAAAAACATCTTGTATGCCTTGTAAAATTGGTAGTTTGATCAGGAAGTCTAATCAGGTTTATGTTCAATTCTTTTCACACAGCTGTACCATACGTGGCATTTGTCTACTTCTGGAGGCACGTGTTACCTTCTTTGTTTTTGTGAACTTAAGTACTATCGACTGTTGATTATTGTTGTGATTTACTAGTTCATTAGGGGAGGCAAAATGGTGATCTGCTAATTCTACCATTTCTTTATTTACTAGCCAAAATAACTTTCTTTTCTTTTCTTGTTTTGGAAACAGAGTCACACTATGTTACCCAGGCTGGCACGTTTATGGCTCACTGCAGCCTCAAACTCCTGTGCTCAAGTGATCCTCCCACTTCAGCCTCCCAAGTAGCTGAAAGTATAGTCATGTGCCACAATGCCCAGCTAATTTTTTAGTTTTTAGTAGAGACAGGTTTCGCTATGTTGCCCAGGCTGGTCCTGAACTCCTGGGCTCAAGTGATCCTCTTCTTTAACCTCCCAGTGTTGGGATTATAGGCCTGAGCCATCACAGCTGGCCTAGAATACTTTTCTGAAGATAAATTTCTATTCTCTATTTGGTTATGTAATTCATGCAGGAAAGACAGTTTCTAAAATATTGAGTAGGCTTCTAAGCAGGAAGGTTTTTTTGTTTTGTTACCATTATGAGCTCATGGGTTTAAACAGATAGTAAATATTTCAGTACATCGAAGTTGTGATTCTTTTGGAAAATTAAATGGCTCCATCTTTGGCCAGATGGAATCCCTTTAAGTTGGTTTCTGAGTCCTTTTGAAATATATTTGATATGTTTGATAGCAAATATATACATATAATATGTATTTGATAGCATTATTTTCTGTTCAGCATTTCGTTTTGAAATCATTTCAAATTTTCAGAAAAATTGCAAGGATTTTACAAAGAAATACCAGATACTTCCTTTTGTTCAGATACTTCATTCTTAACATTTTCCCACATTAATCATTTATATGGATATATACATATATGTGTGTATATGTATTTATTTTTTTTTTTCTGAACTATTTGAGAGTGTCATGTCTCTTTACCCTATAAAGTTTTACATTATATCTCATAAAATCAAGAACATTCTATTAAATATCCATAGCACGGTAATTGAATTCCGGAAATTTGTCATTGATTTAATACTTTTATCTCAACTATAGTTCATTTTCCAGTTTTTGCCAATTTCCCAATAATTTCCTTAATAGCAATTTTTAATTTTTGGTAGAAGATTCAGTCTAGGACTGTCAATTGCCTTTAGTTTTCATGCTTTTTAAGTCTGTTTAATATGGATTTGTTCCTCAGTGCCATTATAAATTTAAGAATACAGGCCAGTGATTTTATAGAAGTCTTTAAATTTAGGTTTCCCTGATCTTTCTTCATGATTAGATTTAGATTGTGAATTTTTGTCTGGAATGCTACATGGAACCTCTTAAATTTATGGCGTAGAATAGGATCTGTCTTGGGAAAATTCTATGCATCTTGAGAAGATGGCTTGTTCTGCTCTGGTTTGGTAGAGTGTTTGATAAATGTTAATGAGATCAAGTTGGTTGGTTGTGTTGTTGAGGTGTACTATATCCTTGTTGATTGTGTGCCTATTTGTATCAATTGTCAGGGAGAGGGGACTGAAATCTCCTGCTGCAATTGTGGTTCTGTTTCTCTTTGCAATTTTACCACTTTTTGCTTTATGTGTTATATTAGATACATAAATGTTCAAGGTTGTTACGTCCTGTTGATTAATAAACCACTTTGTAAAATGGCCTTCCTTGTCCCTGCTAATATTCCAGGCTGTGAAATGTACTTTGTTATTTATGTAGCATTCTTTTTAGTAATACATGCATGGTATATCTTATTCCATCCTTTTACTTTTAACGTATTTGCATCTTTATATATAAAGTATTATTTCTTGTAGGCAGCAAGATTTAGATCTTGCGTGTTTTCATCAGTCTATTTCTGTCTCATAATTGGGGATGTATAGACTGTTTACATGTAATATGATTATTGATAAAACTAGTTAGGTTATAGTCCATTGTCTTTGCTTTCTTTTAGTCTCATCTTCTTTGTTTCTTTTTAAAATGTCTTTGTTTGTCTTCCTTCCTTTTGATTAACTGAGAATGTTTTATGATTCTACTTTTATGTCTTTTGTTGGGTTTTTAGCTATCACACTGTTTTGTTATTTTAGTGAGTTAGAATTTATAGTGTGCAACTTATAGTTTATTCTTAAGTAATGTACCATTTTTCTTAGAGTAAGAGAAGCTTAACAGTAGGATACTTCCATTTCTCTCCTCTTGGTCTGTACACCATTGTTCATTTTATTTTTACAGGTGGTATCAGTGCCACACAGAATCTATTACATTGTTGTTAATTAAACTGTTATCTTTTATTTGTTTGTTTGTTTGTTTATTTATTTTGAGACAGTCTCACTCTGTCCCCCATGCTGGATTGCAGGGGTGTGATCTCGGCTCACTGTAACCTCTGCCTCCTGGGTTCAAGTGATTCTCCTGCCTCAGCCTCCCGGGTAGCTGGGATTACAGACACCCACAACCATACCTGGCTAATTTTTATATTTTTAGTAGAGACGAGGTTTCGCAATGTTGGCCAGGCTGGTCGCAAACTCCTGACCTCAGGTGACCTGCCTCAGCCTCCCAAAGTGCTGGGATTACAGGTGTGAGCCACCACACCCGACCCAGTTATCTTTTAAAGAGATTTAAATAATGAAAGAAAATACGCAGTTACCATTTCTGGTACTCTTCATTCCTTTGTGTAAATCTAAATTTTTATTTGCTGTCATTTTACTTCTGCCTGAAGGACTTTCTTTAACATTTCTTCTAGTTGATGATGAATTCTTGTATGTCTGCAAATGTCTTCATTGTCTTTCCTTTTAAAGGTGTTTTTGCTGGATTTTTCTCCACAGTGCTTTAAATATGTTTCTCTATCGTCTTCCTGCTTACATTTTTTTCTAAGAGAAATCTGATGTCATACTCATCTTTGTTCCCCTGTATATAACATGTCTTTTTGTCTTCCCTCCCTTATTGTTTTAAACTTTTTATCATTAGTTTTGGGCAATTTGATTGCAATATGTCATGGTATCATTTTTTTCATGTTTCTGTTTTGGGGATCATTGAACTTCTTGGATCTTGGGTTTATGGTGTCATCACTTTGGGGACATTTTTATCATTTTTTCTTCAAATATCCACCACCTCCCCTCCATTGATTCTTGTTGCCTGTATATTAGGCCACTTGAAATTTTCCCACAACAGACTGTTGCTCTTTATTTGCTTTTAATTGTTTGTTCTGTTTCATTTTATGTAACTTCTGTTGCTATCTTTATATTCACTAATGTCTTTTTTCCACGATGCTGTTAATCTTGTCCAGTTTAATTTTCATCTCAGATATTCTAGTTTCTATCTGTAGAAGGTTCACATGGGTCTTTTTTACATCTTGCCTGTCTCAATTTTTTTGAACATTTGGAATAGAATGATGAACTCTCTCAGTGCTCTGTGCCAGTTGTAAACTCTGTGTCAATTCTGGGCCAGTTTTGATGGACTGATTCTTTTCTTCCTTATGGGTTGCAATTTCCTGCCCATTTTCCCATCTTGCAACTCTTTCTCCTCACATCTGCCTCTGTTCTTCTTCCCTGCTCCGTGGCCTGGAAATGCTCAAGGCAGAAGTTGATTGGTTCACCTTGTTTGTTTCCCATCACTCATAGATAACTCTACTGCCTGATAGTCAGTGCCTTGAAAACCATTGCTTCAGCCCAGGCGTGGTGGCTCATACCTGTAATCACAGCACTTTGGGAGGCCGAGGCAGGTGGATCATGAGGTCAGGAGTTCGAGACCAGCCTGGCCAACATGGTGAAGCCCCGTCTCTACTAAAAGTACAAAAATTAGCTAGGCGTGCTAGTGCACACCCGTAATCCCAGCTACTCGGGAGGCTGAGGCAGGAGAATCACTGGAACCCGGGAGACGGAGGTTGCAGTGAGCCAAGATTGTGCCGTATCACTCTAGTCTGGAAGACAAGAGTGAGACTTCGCCAAAAAAAAAAAAAAATTGCTTCATATATGTTCTCCATTTTATGTTTCTTTCTGTTTTTGTTTTTTTGTTGTTGTTCTTTGGTATGTGCTGTTTCAGGTTAGAGGGTATATCCAGTACCTGTTAGTTTATCACAACTGAGGGCAGAAGTCCTAATGTCTCTCTCTATATATTTTTTCTAATATACGTATTTTTTTCTTCGTAGAGATAGGGTCTTGCTATGTTGCCAAGACTGGTCTCAAACTCCTGGCCTCAATCAGTCCTTCTGCCTCAGCTTTCCAGAGTGCTGGGATTACAGGCATGAGCTACCGCACCTGGCCTGGATCCAGTTTTATCCATGTCCAAATGTTTTTTTCCCTGAGCTGTTTTTGATTTTCTTCCACCTCATGTGAACTGTAGTGTCAGCTTATCTAGTTCCAGGAAAAAGCTTTTTGGTATTTTTATTGGGATTGCATATTTATAAAGTAATTTAGGGTAACTGATTAAGTTGACCTTAATAATACAACTAATTTTTTTTTTTTTTTTGGATTTTTAATAGAGATGGAGTTTCACCATGTTGACCAGGCTGGTCTCAAACTCCTGACCTCAGGTGATCTGCCTGTCTCGGCCTCCCAAAGTTTTGGGATTATAGGCGTGAGCCACCATGCCCAAGCACTTTTACTTTTTCTTATATTCCTCTATTGTTTTCTCTTCTCTAATTGTAGATAGTGAGCATTTTATTAATACCTTGTTCTTGATCTTAGTAGGAAGGTATGTCGTTTTTCCCTGTTAAGTAAAATCTTGACTTTTGGACTGAGAAGACTGAGGCGTAAATTGTGTGTGTGTGTGTGTGTGTGTGTACACGCAAACTGTATATGTGTGCTTGTGTGTAATTGAAATACGTATGTCACATATATATCATACGTACTATTGCATATTAGGGTACAATAGTTATATTTGTGTATATACATAATATTGATGTTAATGAAGTTTCTATTTTCTTTAGTTTGTTTTTTTAAATCAGCTTTTTCTGTCAAGCTTTTTCAAGTATCTTTGTGGATACAAGACTTTTCTTCTTTGCTGTGTTATAGTGGCTTGTCATATTAATAGATTTCCAAATATTAAACTAGTCAAATGGGAATAAGTCCCATTTGGCTGTTGTATATTATGTTTTTAAACTGGTACTGGATTTTGTTTGGTTATGTTTCATTTTGGGTATTTGTATTGATATAAGTGGTATTGGCATGTAATTTTATGTTGTTTATTGGTTGATCAGTCTTCTAACCCCTACCGCCTCCTTACATTCTGGACTAACTTAACCCAGAAGGTTATAGCTCTCTCTCTGTGATTTTATCAGCTCCTGTGGCCTGCCTATGGATAAGCTTGGGTGTCCTGCTTTAGTTTCTCAGCCCAGCAGCCTAGTGGCTCTGCCTCTGCTATCTCTTGGGATCTACCTGGTCCTAGCTGTATCACTGGGTTTGAACCCCTTGTTGATATGTTCTTTATAAATAATAGGATAATGCAACATGCTTACTGGGCACTTTCTTTTTCTAAACTACAAGTTTGGGCAGGGCATGCTGGCTCAAGCCTGTAATCCCAACACTTTGGGAGACCAAGGCAGTTGGATTGCTGGAGCCCAGGAGTTTTGTATTTTTCCTTTTTTTTTTTTTTTTTTTTGAGATAAGGTCTCGCTCTGTTGCCTAGGCTGGAATGCGATGTTGCGTTCACAGCTCACTGAAGCCTTGACCTCCCAGGCTCAAGCGATCCTCCTGCCTTCGCCTCCCAAGTAGCTGGAACTACAGGCATGTGCCATGATGTCCAGCCAATTTTTTTTAAAAATTTTATTTTTAGCAGAGATGAGGTCTTACTGTGTTGCCCAAGCTGGTTTCGAACTCCTGAGCTCAAACAATCTTCCCACCTCAGCCTCCCAAAGTGCTAGGATTATAGGCATGAGTCACCATGCCCAGCCCCAACCTCTTAAAAATTGAAGCTGCTTCATGTTTGCCATTGGTACTTTTTACACCTCATCATATTCTTCCCCTTCATCCCATAGAATACACAGTGCATCTTTAAGGACTTCCAGTTAACTGAGTCTGAAGCCTAATATGATGGCATAAAGTTAAAATAATTTGATTCTCTTTTTTTAAATCATTCTGCACCTTGTCTGCATTACTCTAATAACAGCTTTGGGCATTCATTCATTTAACGAATACTTATTGCTGTAAGATTGAGATGTTTGAGATAAAACTCTGCCATGCAAATAGCCAGAGGCCACTGGCCATGAGAATAAAAGAGCCAGAAGAACAAGGAGTTGAAACTAGGTGAGAGCCCCAGAGCAGTGAGTTAGGAAGAAGAAGACCAGGAACTGAGTGGTGGACACTCCAACATGAAGAGGTCCAGGAGAAGGGGAGGGTCTGGCAGCAAAGAAGACTAAAAGAAGTGACCAGGAGTAAAATGCATATGTTTGTTTACATGTTTATCTCCTTATTAGGTTGTCCACTTTTTGAGAGCAGGCATGATGTTTCACTCATATCCCCAAAACTCAGTTCAGTTTCAAAATAGGAGTTCAGTTGTGTTTGGGGTTTTTGTTTTTGTGGGTAATATATATTTTTTATATATATGTGTGTGTGTGTGTGTACATATACACACGTATATATACGTGTATATACATGATCCCAAAGGATATATGTTTCCAATATGATTTCCCTTCCATAATCTGTAACATAAAATAAGGTATACAATGTTCATGGTTAACTTTACCAGTGAGCTTTGTAAAATGTTATCCCCCCATCCCTTTTCCATATTTCCCAATTCTGATCATGTTGCCATTACAGGGGCCAGTGTCATTCAAAGATGTGGCTGTGGATTTCACCCAGGAGGAGTGGCAGCAACTGGACCCTGATGAGAAGATAACATACAGGGATGTGATGTTGGAGAACTATAGCCATCTAGTTTCTGTGGGTGAGGATAGCTTGCTTTCTGATGCTCTCGGTTGAATGGGGTTTTATCCTTGAATTTGAAGAAATAAGTGATGACACCATTTAATTCCTTGTGGGCACTAGCTGGAGTATTTATATTATTATTCATTAAAAGGTTCTAACTTTGATAAGGTAAAAAATGGAGCACTTCTGTTATGCAGCTTATGAGGTGGCAACATCTTGTACTTTGGAGATTCTGAAGCCAAGCAGCTTGCCCAAGTCCTCCTTCTTTTCCCATTAACAGGGTATGATATCACCAAGCCAAACGTCATCATTAAGTTGGAGCAGGGAGAAGAGCCGTGGATAATGGAAGGTGAATTTCCATGTCAACATAGTCCAGGCAAGTTAGTAGAGTATCAAATGTTAAAAAATGCTCATCCCAGACCTTTGGGAGTGACTAAAGAGTTGTTGACATGTATTCAGTACCCTCAGGCACACCTCCCAACCCCCAAATATCACTTTCCTTCCCACACACATACATGAACTCTTCTGTTGATTTTACATTTGATTTACATTGGTAGGGATTTTTTCCATTCTAACCTGTACTGGAGACCTATTCACTTCCTCTTTCTCCAGCATTATTGGTAACTTACTCCCTCGCCATTACAGAATTGTTGTGGGGTTTTGTTTGTTTGTTTGTTTTTTGGAGACAGAGTCTTGTTCTGTCACCCAGGCTGGAGTACAGTGGTGCGATCTCAGCTCACTGCACCCACTACCTCCCAGGTTCAAGCAATTCTCCTTCCTCAGCCTCCTGAGTAGCTGGGATTACAGGTGCATGCCACCATGCCTGGCTAATTTTTGTATTTTTAGTAGAGACGGGGTTTCACCGTGTTGGCCATGCTGGTCTTGAACTCCTGGCCTCAAGTGATCCACCCACCTCAGCCTCCCAAAGTGCTAAGATTACAGTCCTGAGCCACTGCTCCCAGCCTTACAGAATTGTTTTGTTTTGGGGCATTCAGAAGTCTGACATAAAAATTAACTTGAGACTTTTATCTTCATTCTTTTTTATCTTCCATTTTCTTTCCCTCCTTCCTTTAAAAATACCTTGGATTTATTTTCTGCCCTTAATTTTATTTACGTCTTTAGGCATTCAGATACCAAAACCTCATCTTCCACCTATGCTTATGAATTCAGTCACAGCTTGTAGTGTACGTCATTTCCCAAAGTCCATGCTTAGTTGATGTGACAATATAGCAGTCCTCAGCTTTCTTCTCTTTCCCCAGTGCTCATTTATCAGCTGTCTGTGTGTTCATTTCCCCTTCCCCATAACTGGAATCATGCTCTGTCCGTAGTAGACATTCAGGAAGTGTGAATTTCATAAGTGAATATCCGTTCCTTTTCTTGCCTTTTCAGGAGTGTCACCCTAGGACCTGTTTTCCACTTTTTTGGTTTTCTTTGTATCCCCTAAAAGAGTTTATATGATCTCAACTTCTAAGACCTTTTTTCCTGTGTATTTTTGCAGCTTGCCTCCAAATTGATATGTCTAACACTTTTAACCAGAAGTCTAGTTGAATATTTTGCTTGATAACAGCAGTACCAGTGAGACAGTTCACTTCCTTCCTTCTCAGAATGTCTGATGATAAACTGTGCACATTCCAAAATCATGAATTCTGTCTACCTTCCTCACCTCCCAGTATTTGATTGTGCTAGTCTTCTCTCCATAGTTTGTGTTCTTTGTCCTTTGTGAAATGCTTTGCAGATCGTCAGCACATTCAGTTCCTTTTGACATTAATGTTCAGTATTCTCCCATACCTGGATTACAGTGGATCCATCTTCCATTCAAATGATCATTGTCGTTTTCCTTCATCTGCATTTTACTTGCCCAGATAATACATGTTTTCTCTCCCTCCCTCCCTCCCTTCCTTCCATTTTGAGATGGAGTCTCGCTCTTGTTGCCCAGGCTGGAGTGCAATGGCACAATCTCGGCTCACTGCAGCATTCCTCTCCCAGGTTCAAGCGATTCTCCTGCCTCAGCCTCCGAAAGTAGCAGGATTACAGGCGCACGCCACCATGCCTGGCTAATTTTTATATTTTTAGTAGAGATGGGGTTTCACCATATTGGTCAGGCTGGTCTCTAACTCCTGACCTTGTGATCCACCTGCCTCGGCCTCTCAAAGTGCTGGGATTACAGGTCTGAGCCACTGTGCCCAGCCTATTTATTTATTGAGACAGAGTCTCTGTAACTGAGGCTGGAGTGCAGTGGTGCAATCTTGGCTCAGGATAACCTCTGCCTCCCAGGTTCAAGTGATTCTTGTGCCTCAGCCTCCCGAGTAGCTGGGATTACAGGCATGCACCATCAACGCCCGGCGTGTTTTTGTGGTTTTTTTTTTTTTTTTTTTTTTGAGACGGAGTCTCGCTCTGTCGCCCAGGCTGGAGTGCAGTGGCCGGATCTCAGCTCACTGCAAGCTCCGCCTCCGGGTTTACGCCATTCTCCTGCCTCAGCCTCCCGAGTAGCTGGGACTACAGGCGCCCGCCACCTCGCCCAGCTGGTTTTTTGTATTTTTTAGTAGAGACGGGGTTTCACCGTGTTAGCCAGGATGGTCTCGATCTCCTGACCTCGTGATCCGCCCGTCTCAGCCTCCCAAAGTGCTGGGATTACAGGCTTGAGCCACCGCGCCCGGCCAATTTTTGTATTTTTAATAGAGACAGGGTTTCAGTCTGTTGGCCAGAAGTTCAACAGAGTGATCTGCCCTCCTCAGCTTCCCAAAGTGCTGGGATTACAGGCATGAGCCACTACACCCAGCCCCTTCATTTAATTTTAAATTGTGGTTTAAAAAACACATAACATGGCCCAGCACGGTGGCTCACACCTATAATCCCAGCACTTTGGGAGGCCGAGGCAGGTGGATCACGAGGTCAGGAGATCAAGACCATCCTGGCGAACACGGTGAAACCCCATCTCTACTAAAAATACAAAGATATTAGCCAGGCATGGTGGCAGGCATCTGTAGTCCCAGCTACTTGGGAGGCTGAGGCAGGAGAGTGGCATGAACCCAGGAGGCAGAGCTTGCAGTGAGCGGAGATTGCCACTGCACTCCAGCCTAGGCGACAGAGCAAAACTCCGTCTCAAAACAAACAAACCAAAAAAAACACGTAACATGCAATTTACCATCTTAACCATTTTTAAGTGTACAGTAATGTTAACTGTATTTGCATTGTTGAGCAATAAACTTTAGAACTTTATGCTTTACATTTGAGCTTAAAAGGTTAACTCCTTGAAGTTTCCTTCATGATTCGTTGACTACTCCAGTCTTTCCTTCTCTTAATACCTATTCCACTCAGCGATTGTTTCCACAAAAAGTTAGATATGATTATATACTCCAATATGATTATACACTCTGATAGGATTATATATTCTGAGATTGTGTGCTCTGATAGGATTCTATGCTGTGATAGGAGTGGTATATGCTCTGAGTATAAGCTCTGATAGGAGTATATGCTCTGTGATTCTATGCTTTGATAGGAATATATGCTCTAAATGATTATATGCTCTGATAGGTAGGTACATATGTTTGTTGCTTGAGCTTCTTCTACCAGAATTATAATCCTCCAAAGAGGAAAGACCTTTTTACTTTTCTTGCTTTGATAATGCAACATACAGTAGGTATTCAGTGGGTTTTTTTATTGACTTGCCAAGGAGCTAGGTAAAAGAAAGATCTTTATCATTAATCCATTGAGAGATCATTTATTCTGAACTATAGATTCTGATAAAACAGATAGGGGTTAGATTAGAAACTGTAAGCACCCATCAGATTAGGAACTACTTTAATTTCTGTTCAGAGAGATACAAAGAAAATGTGAATACTTTACAGGGGCATAGGTTTTGGTTAGGAAATAGGATCATAGCTGCATGAACTATAAAATTCAGCTTTCACATGGAAAATTTATACTCCAATGCACATTGTGCAACTTTATGTAAAAGCTATTTTAAAATGTAAGGGAAAGAGATTCAATGAACTGGGAAGAGATTTGATAAGTGTCTTCAACTTTCCCCCAAAGTATAGATAGATTTTGAGTATAGCCAACACCAGAAGTCAAACTGAGCGGGGAAGATCACTAGCACAGACTTGTGGCTGAGAATATGCAAGGCATAGCCTAGGCTTCCAGAAGCAGAAGATGTTGGCAGATTAGTGGAATGCTAGCTTGGATATATATCATGAATCCAGGTAGTGAAAAATATCATTAATAACCTTTCTGTTTCTTCTGTTGGAGTTTGGGGTGCTGGAGCTCAGAGATGATGTAGATTTCTGAGCAGAGTACCATCAGGGTTGCTTTGAATGTGGGTGATAGCAGCTAACAATAGTTTAGTGGATCCAAAAATGTGTAAGATACATAAAAATAAAAGTACATCATAGGGGCAGCTTTAGGAATCTGAGATACAAGATTTTACACCAAATGAAACCCAGGAGTTTGGGAACTCTTGTTTGTATTCAGAATTAGGTAAAAGAATTATAGGGACATGAATGGTTTTAGGAAATTTAAGTCAGCAAATTGAAAGAAAATTAATGGCTGAACTTAATGATCATTTGTTTTATGTTATAAACTGTTCTAAGCAGTTTACATGTACTAATTCAGTCCTTTGACAACCCCATGATTTAGGCACTCGTATTCACACTGAATTCAGATGAGGGAAACTGCATCACAGTTACGTAACTTGACCACGGTGCCTTAGTTAGTAAATTGTTGGGGGTTTGAACTGAGGTGGCCTACTCTGGTGTTCATGCTCTTAACCACTGTGCTTTATTGTGCAATCAGGGAAAGCAGAATTTAATGGCTAAGAAGGTTAGCTAGTATTAAATACGACTTTCAGAACACTTCAAAGATCTGATCTTGGGTTTTTTGTTTTGTTTTTTCTTTTTCTTTTTTTAGTAGAGACAGGGTTTTGCATGTTGCCCAGACTGGTCTCAAACTCCTGAGCTCAGGCAATCCACCCGCCTTGGGCCCCCAAAGTGCTAGGATTACAGGCGTGAGCCACCATGCCCAGCATGATCTTGTTTTTAAGATACCCGCTGGCTGGCCACTGTGGCTCATGCTTGTAATCCCAGCACTTTGGGAGGCTGAGGTGGGTGGATCACCTGAGGTCAGGAGTTCAAGACCAGCCGGGGCAACATGGTGAAACTCTGTCTCTACTAAAAATACAAAAATTAGCTGGGGGCGGTGGTGTGTGCCTGTAATCCCAGCCAGTTGGGAGGCTGAGGCAGGAGAATCACTTGAGCCTGGGAGGTGGAGGTTGCAGTGAGCCAAGATTGTGCCATTGTACTCCAGCCTGGGTGACAGAGCGAGACTCCATCTCAAAAAAAAGATACCTTGCCCTCTGGTCTAGCTTACATTTCTTTTGGACATTGACTTGCCTGGGTCTCCTCCAGATGAATGCGAATCTTCTCTGTAAACATGAAGAAATCAGAGCATTCAGAATGTTTATTTGCATTTGTATGCAGACTAGTAAGGCACAGATTTTGGAAGGGTCTAGGCTAGTGGGGATGCTACCATCGTATCTTGATATGAAGCAATATCTTGCAGTTTAATATAAATTGTAATAGACGTCTCCCAAATGTAATCCATAATGGATTTCCTTTGTATGGAGACCTAGCACCTGTTTTTGTTCCTCCTGATTCTATTTGATCTAAATCCTCCCATCTTTGCCTGGATCTGGCACACTTTCAGCCACTTCTCTGCTCATCATTTGGTTTTATTTCACCTTTTCTACCAAAGTTTGAAACATAATATTTGTAAAGCAACAAAGTTACCTGTATTCAATATGAAGTTGCTCTTCTATTTTCTACCACTATCTCATCTTTATCCTTTCACCGTGTGTGTGTGTGTGTGTGTGTGTGTGTGTGTGTGTGTGTGTTTATGTTTTGTATTAGAAATCAAAGGACAAAGAGAACTATGCATTTGTAATTATTTTTATTTATGGAGATTGGCTCTAAAGCCAGAGTCAACCCCACAATGGGGGCTCTTGAGTACCAGTACCTTTCCATGGCTAGTGTGTTTAGATTTACAAAGTTTGTTTACTATTTTTCCTTTTTAGAAGTCTGGAAATTTGATGACCTGATAGAGAGAATCCAAGAAAATGAAGATAAACATTCAAGGCAAGCTGCTTGTATCAACAGCAAAACCCTGACTGAAGAGAAAGAGAATACATTTTGTCAAACTTATATGGAAACAAGCCTTGTTCCTTCAAGCATAATAGCTCATAATTGTGTCTCATGTGGAAAGAATTTAGAATCTATTTCGGAATTAATTAGTAGTGACGGAAGCTATGCCAAGACAAAACCTGATGAGTGTAATGAATGTGAGAAAACATATCCTGGAGAGAAAATGTATGAATTTAATCAAAATGGGGATACCTATTCTCAAAATGAAGAAAATATTCTTCAGAAAATTAATATTTTGGAGAAACCTTTTGAATATAATGAATGCATGGAAGTCTTAGACAATGAGGCTGTTTTTGTTGCTCATAAGAGAGCTTACGTGGGGGAGAAGCCCTATGAGTGGAATGATTCTGGACCAGACTTCATACAGATGTCAAATTTTAATGCATATCAGAGATCACAAATGGAAATGAAGCCTTTTGAATGCAGTGAATGTGGAAAATCCTTCTGTAAAAAGTCAAAATTCATCATCCACCAGAGGGCTCACACAGGAGAGAAACCTTATGAATGTAATGTATGTGGGAAATCCTTCAGCCAAAAGGGAACCCTCACTGTACATCGGAGATCACACTTAGAGGAGAAGCCCTATAAATGTAATGAATGTGGGAAAACCTTTTGTCAGAAGTTACACCTCACTCAGCACCTAAGAACTCATTCAGGAGAGAAACCCTACGAATGTAGTGAATGTGGGAAAACCTTCTGCCAAAAGACACATCTCACCCTACACCAGAGGAATCATTCAGGAGAGAGGCCCTATCCATGTAACGAATGTGGGAAATCCTTCTCCCGCAAGTCCGCACTCAGTGACCATCAGAGAACTCACACAGGAGAGAAGCTTTATAAATGTAATGAATGTGGGAAATCCTACTACCGAAAGTCTACCCTGATTACACATCAGAGAACACACACAGGAGAGAAGCCCTATCAGTGTAGCGAGTGTGGGAAATTCTTTTCTCGGGTGTCATACCTCACTATACATTATAGAAGTCATTTAGAAGAGAAACCCTATGAATGTAATGAATGTGGCAAAACTTTCAATTTAAATTCAGCCTTCATTAGACATCGGAAAGTACACACAGAAGAGAAATCCCATGAATGTAGTGAATGTGGAAAGTTCTCTCAGTTGTCATATCTCACCGACCATCATACAGCTCATTTAGGAGAGAAACCCTATGAATGTAATGAATGTGGGAAAACCTTCCTTGTAAATTCAGCCTTTGATGGGCACCAGCCACTTCCAAAAGGGGAGAAATCCTATGAATGTAATGTATGTGGAAAGTTATTCTCTGAGTTATCATACTATACTGAACATTATAGAAGTCATTCAGAAGAGAAACCTTATGGATGTAGCGAATGTGGGAAAACCTTTTCCCATAATTCATCCCTGTTCAGACATCAAAGAGTACACACAGGCGAGAAACCCTATGAATGTTACGAATGTGGAAAATTCTTCTCTCAGAAATCATATCTCACCATACATCATCGAATTCATTCAGGAGAGAAACCCTATGAATGTAGTAAATGTGGAAAAGTCTTCTCTCGGATGTCAAACCTCACTGTCCACTACAGAAGCCATTCAGGAGAGAAACCCTATGAATGTAATGAATGTGGGAAAGTCTTTTCTCAGAAGTCATACCTCACTGTACACTATAGAACTCATTCAGGAGAGAAACCCTATGAATGTAATGAATGTGGGAAAAAGTTCCACCACAGATCAGCCTTCAATAGCCATCAGAGAATTCACAGAAGAGGAAATATGAATGTACTTGATGTGGAAAGTCTCTGAAGTCAGATCTCAATTTTTAGAAAACTCTCTGAATATAATGAATATGGAAAATCCAATAGAAAGTCAAAGTGTTTATCTGAGGGTTCATGTTCCTGAATGGTGAGAAGCATTTAGGCGTTAGATTCATTTTAATCTGGATTTTCACAGAGAAGAATCCCGAAGAGTGTAACAAGAAGCAAAACCTTCAGCAAGATCATACGACTCATCAGACACTAGATAATTTATGCAGGAGTGAAGTTTTATAAATATTTAATATTTATTTTGGATTCAAATTGTATTTACATATCAGGGAATCATACAAAGGCAAAATCTGTCAATATGGTGAATGTGGAAAATATATTGTCTTGGAAATTTGTTCTTCTAAAAGCCATATTTCTAATGTAAAATCAGGTGTTTATAGGAAAGATCTCAGAGGCTATAAGCTCTGAATAAATCTTCATTGTATAAAATGAAGTTTTTAAATTATCAGGAGTTGATCATGAGGACAGTAGCATTAAATAAGTGTATGGCCATTTTTTATCATGTCTTTAAAATGCATTCTCATGGTAATTCTATGCAAGTTTGGAATTGGGCAACTTGTGAAGAGGCAGTTTTCTTATTTGAATATTAGGATGGCAAATGTACTAAGACAGGATATATTGTTGGTCAGATAATATTTAGTAGGTATAAAATGGTAAAATACCTAGTTTTCTATTTAGAGGAATTTACAAATGGGTTTTTAACAAATGCCTCATTAGTAGAAGAGGCAGTGTTTTTGTAAAGTTTTCAACTGCATCTGAACAAGATAAGATTTTCTAAAAGACTATTTTGATAAACTATACATAACATAATTTGGAATTAAGTCTGTTTCAGTGAAAGAGAACAAGCATACTGCCCATACTCTAAAATATCCCCAGCTCTCACACCACCCTTGTTTTTTAACCCATAGTTTTCAGTGTGCCTAGTGCCAATATTTTGTAATTTAGAAATTTTATTCAGAAACTTCTCTTTGATACAAATACAGTGTCATTGTTTTGTGCATTCCCCTTTTTCCCAGTATTTTAGAACAAATTGATTCAAGTTTCTAGCAGATATTTTTTGGTCAATTAACTTAATATCCTCACTCCATTTCTTGCTGGAACAGTTTAGGTAGCTACTGCTTCTTCACATTACACAGGGGAATCCTGATTAGTCAAAATAATAATGATTCCATTCTCTTTGCCAGTAACTTGTTTTATAGTGGTCATATGACCAGATACTGGGTAAACAAAACAAAGATCGTTTGTTCTGGAAAAAGCTAAAATGGTAATCAAATAGATTGTGTTCCAGGAGTGCAAAGGTGGCTTAATATTCACAAATCAGTTGCTATTGTACACCACCTGTAGAAAAGTAATCTGGCATGCAGAACATTCTTATGGTAAAGTTAATGTTCATTTATGATCTTAGCAAATGATGGATTGAAAGGGACTTCCTTAATTGCATAAACAGACTTCAACAAACAGTATGATGAAATAGTGAACATTTCTCCTAAGATTATAAAAATAAGACAAGGATGTCTGCTGTCAATGATTTTACTCAGCATTGTTCAGAAGGACCTAACCAGAAAACTAATGCAAGAAACAGAAACAAAAGGCATAAAGATTAGAAAAGAAGTAAAATTTTAAAAAAAGAAAAAATATAAATCTCTATTTGCAGATGCCATGAGTAAATTTGGTAAGTTCCCTGCATAAAAGTTATGCAAAAAGCATTTTATGATATACCAGCAAAAATCATGGAAAATGAAATTTTGAAAAGCAGTGCCACTTAAAAGATCCCTCAAGTGCCTAGGGGGGAAAAATGAGTTAATAAGCTTTGAAGAACTGTATCCAGAAAAGAAAATTACAAAGGAGGAGAGGGATAGGATTCCAGGACAATCTCAAAACCATTGCTTTTTCCCTAAATTCATTGCAACCTTAATTAAAATCCTAGCAAATTCTTTAATGTAAATAAACAAGCTAATTCTAGAATTCATATGCATATTCAAAAGGCCAATAATTGTCAAAGCTATCTTGTAGAATGGACAGAGAGGATTGAAATTTCCAAATATCAAGACCTGTTATAAAGCCACATAAATTATGATGGTGTTATTTTGGGCACAAGGATGAAAAAACTGACTAGTGGAATAGCATACAGATTCAAAAGTAGACCCACATGTATACCATCACCTGACTTTTGAGAAAGGTGACATTGAAGTGTAGTGGGGGAAAGGGTGTTCTTTCCAGTAAATGTGCTTTGCCAATTAAATTTTGTAATTTAATAAAAAGTCAGTTGAAGGTGGATTGCAAATCTGAATATGAAATGTGAAAGCTTTACAAAGAAATCTTGGACAGTTTGTAATCTTGGAGTAAGCAAAGGTTTATTGAGACCCAAAAAAGCATTAACCCATGAAATAGAACTTAATAGTAAGTTTGAGAACTTCTGTTTATCAGAAAGACCACCAGTAAGAAAATGAACAGGAAACCATGAGGAGGAAAAGATATTTGCAGTTCATGTATGTGACAACAGCACTGAGTATAGCAAAAGTGTTGGCAAACTTTTTAGCAAGGTACCAGATGGTGAACATTTTTGGCTTTGTCACAAATGCTTATCTTTGCTATTGTGTGAAAGCATCCATACACCATGCATTTTAAAAAATGAGCATGACTGCTTCCCAGTAAAACCATTCATAAACCCAGGTGGCAGTCTGGATTTGGTCTGCACTCATAGTTTTCTGGCCCCTGATCTCGAATATGTAAAGAGCACCTACAAATCAAGGGGGAAAATGGAAAAGGCAAAATATTTTAGAGGATATCCACTCACTTTAGAGGATATCCAGACGGCCACTAAGCATGAAAAGATGTTAGCTTTATTAGTAATCAGGGAAATGCAAATTTAAAACACCATGTAATACTGCTACCCATCCATGGAAATGGTTAAAATGAAAAGCATGAAAAAGCATCCTTTTGGCAAGGATGTAAGCAAGAGGAACTGTACGCTACTGGTGGAATTGCTCATCCATAAAACCATTTTTGAAAGCTGGCACTTAAAACCAAGTATACCCTTTTACCCAAACCCAGCAAAAAGGCATGTGTCTCCACCAAAGGACACGCAGAATATATATAGCATAAAACTGCACAAAACAGAACTATCTTAAGGCACATTGCAATGGAATGAATAAACAAGTGGCATTATTTCCATGGAATACTGTAAAACAGCACGAATGAACTAGAAGTTCATGCAGTAATGTAGCTGAACTTAACAAACCTTGCTAAATGAAAGACTCCAGACACAAAAGCCAACATGCTGTATGATTCCTTCTGTATAAATTATAAAGACGGGCAAAACTTGTCTATGTGGTTTGAAATTAGGATAGCGGTTAGTCTTGGCCAAGGCTGAAAGGGGGCATTTATCTGGTGCTGGGAATAATCTGTTTCTAAACCTGGGTGCTAAATATCTGAGTGTGTTCTGAGCTGTGCACTTAAGGTGTGTGTATTTTTCTGCATGTGTGTTACACTTTCCATAAAAGTTTTTTAAAATCACAAATGGCTAACATTTGTGTTACTCGTCACTCTACTCATATTTTTCTAGATGTGTATGAATATGCTGCATAACAGGAATTAAATGGTAGATTTTGCATAATTCTGTGCAGAAAATACATATTTATAGTAATTTTGATGGCAACTACTAAGATTTCCTATGCTGTCCTTAAGGCTTAGCATAATGTATATTTTAAGTGAAATATTTGAGAAGGTTAAAGAGTCATTACATACTTTGTCATCCTATACTTTTGCATATATAAATGGGTCTGAGCTGCCTCTTCAATAAAGAAGCTAATATGTAACATTTCATATTTCCCTAAACTGTTCTTCCGCATTTCTAAATTCGGGATTCATCTTAACTTTTACCTTAGAGGTGACCTTTCTTGGCAGTGAATGAATATAATGCTGAGTTTGATTTGATGGAAAATTATTTAAAAAGTATTCAGTTAAACCTTTGAGGAAATCTCAGTTACACAATTAACAGCACAGATGTAAGTGAATGAAAGAAACAGGTCACGAAGACTTTGCACCATTAAAAAAAAAACACTTTGATTGGGGGCTGGCTGAGCTTGTAAAAGCACAGCAAAAAGGACGTGACATTGGATGGCATAGACTATGTGTGCCTAATTTTTTTTTGATGGGGAGGCCTTTATTTTTTTTTTTAGAGTCAGGTTCTCACCATAGCCTGCAGTGCAGTGGTGCAATCACAGCTCACTGCAGCCCCACCTTCCTGGGCTCAAATGATCCTCTCACCTCAGCCTCCTGAGTAGCTGGGACTACAGGTGCATGCCACCACACCTGGCTAATTTTTTAATTTATTTTTTATTTTTTTTTTTCATACAGACGGGGTCTTGCTGTGTTGCTGGACTCAAACTCCTGGGCTCAAGTGGTCCACCCAACTTGGCCTTCCAAGGTCCTGGGATTCCAGGAGTGAGCCACCTCGCCCGGCCGTGTGCTTTTCATTCCACCCTACTCGTTGAGGGTTAAGCTGAAGTGTGAACAGGTGACTAATGCTTTGCGAAGGAGGGGGAATCTGGGAGGTGGTTGCGACTTGGGGGTGTGATTCCCCCACAGTGGCTCACTTTGCTCTCTCAGTCCTTTGGGCAGAACTACCAGGCAGTGTTAAGCAAGGCAGGGGCTCACCCTTCACCCCCACCAGAAGTGCCCATTTCACAGGAGATTTTCTCCACCCACGCCCATATTTGCTGGTGCTTGGCTTGGGGTTGGCGAACTTCTCAATTTTGTTTTTATGTCAAAAGATACAAACGCAAGACTACTTCTTTATACCTGAGGCCAAAAATTCATCCACTGTTCCTTATTCCATCCTAAATTATGTCCAGATATGAGGAAGCCAAGCCTTCAAAGAAGGGAAGCAGGCCAGGCACACCTGTAATCCCAGCACTTTGGGAGGCTGAGATGGGAGGATCTTGAGCTGAGGAGTTCAAGACCACCCTGGGCAGCACAGCCAGGCCCCTTCTCTATTTATTTTGTTTGTTTTTTGAGACGGAGTTTGGCTCTGTCGCCCAGGCTGGAGTGCAGCGGCGCAATCTCGGGTCACTGCAAGCTCCGCCTCCCGGGTTCACGCCATTCTCCTGTCTCAGCCTCCCCAGTGGCTGGGACTACAGGCGCCCGCCCCAGCACGCCTGGCTAATTTTTTTGTATTTTTAGCAGAGACGGGGTTTCACCGTGTTAGCCAGGATGGTCTCATCTCCTGACCTCGTGATCCGCCCACCTGGGCCTCCCAAAGTGCTGGGATTACAGGCATGAGCCACCGCGCCCGGCCCTAATTTTTGTATTTTTAGTAGAGACGGGGTTTCACCATGTTGACCAGGCTGGTCTCAAACTCCTGACCTCAGGTGGTCCACCTGCCTTGGCCTCCCAAAGTGCTGGGATTACAGACGTGAGTCATTGAGCCCAGCCAACATCCTCTATAAAACCCTTCTAAGAAGCAGAAATGGGGTTAACCTCCCAACCAGGAAGTAGCTATGTGATTGGTTTTTCTTTCCAGTCAAGATTGCAGCACTTCCCTGAAGAAAATGAGTTCTGACAAAAATAACCAGACATTTGAGGAACTCAATCACCAAAGAAAAAACTGTACCATCTATACTAAAGATTCTCAAAGAAATAAGAATATATTGGTAATGTTTGGGAGACTGAGGTAAGAGGATCTCTTGAGGCCTGGAGTTCAAGACCTGCCTGGGCAACAGAGTGAGACTCCATCTCTACAAAAGATAATTTTAAAAATTAACTGGGGATGGCTGCGTGCACCTGTGGTTCCAGCTACTCAGGAGGCTGAGATGGGAGGATCGCTTGAGCCCAGGAATTAACAGTGAGCTATGATCATGCCACTGCATTCCAGCTCGGGCAACAGTGAGACCCTGTCTCGAAAACACAAAAGCAAAAAAACAGGCATGCAAAGAAGCAGAAAAACAGAACCCATAATGAGTAGAAAAATAAAGACCCAGAAGTGGCATAGATGATGGAATTAGTGATCCGGACCTTAAAACAGCTACTATGAATATTCCCCATATGTTCAAGAAAAATGGAGAATGAACAGGAGTGAGGGACCCGAAACGACTGTGTTCCATGCTGAGGGTGGCAGAGGCTGGCCCGGATGCTGGATGAGGCTCAACTCGGGGGCCCGGGCCGTTGCACTGGGGCTGGACTGGGGATCACAGAAGAGGGCCAGGCCCGCGTGGGTCTCCAGGGCCGTGCTCAGGGGCGTGGCCTTTTGCAGTGGGGGCATGGCTGGTGAGTGGAGACTCTGCGGGACTCTGGGGGCGTGGCCGGGAATGGGTGTGGCTATGTGTGGGGGCGTGGTCATTGCGTAGGGGCTTGGGTGAAGCGTTAACAGTTGGTGGGCATGGCTTGGGCTCGAGGGCGTGGCCAGCACGCGGGGGCGTGGCTCTGGCTTGTGTAGGCGTCCGAGCTCCAGGGCAGCTCTGGGGCAGAACTGTCTGGATCTAACGATCCCTGGGGAGCCGGAGACCGGTGACCGGTCTGTGGGCTGACTCAGGGCTGCTCGAGAGACACAGGCGGGCCGTGGTGGCAGGTGAAGAGTGCTGGATGTGCAAGCCTGGCACGCAGAAGTGAGAGGGCAGAGAGGAAAGGGCGTGGAGAGGGGGCGGGGCTTCTAACGCCCACCTTGTCCCCCCACAGCCGCCCGGCCCGCAGGCCATGTGGCCCCCGCTGTTGCTGCTGCTGCTGCTGCTCCCGGCCGCCCCGGTCCCCACCGCCAAGGCCGCTCCCCTCCCAGATGCTAACACCCAGGAAGGCCTTCAGAACCTGCTTCAAGGTTTCAATCGCCCCAAGCTGCAGGGGAGGGGCGGGGAAGGGGACTGGGGGCGGGGGGATGGACGGGAAGAGAGGAAGTCAGGGACCCGGAGAAAGGAAGAGACGGAGACAAAGATGAGGCACTACAGACCCAGCACAGGGACCTGGATAAGGACGGGACCAGACAGGGGTGGGTGGGTGACTGGCTGGGCCCCGAGGGTCAGAGGGTGGAGAACACGGGGTGGGCCTGCTGGGCCTCTTGGCTTGAGGCCGGCCACACACCTGGAACCCCCAGGGCACCTGCTGCGGGACAGGGACAGCGTCCCCGATGCCCCCCCAGGCACAGCTACAGCACAGAGGACCAGGGGGCTGCCTGGCTGGAGAGCATCACGCTTTCTAGCCAGCACCAGGAAGCCCCCCTTTTATCCCCTTTCCCAGGAGTCCAGGCTGGCGGAGACGGAGAGCTGCAGGCCGACTCACACCTGGCCCCGGGCTCTGGCTGTAATAATGGGGCTGTGGTGGCCACGCGACCAGAAAGCCGGGGAGGAAGACCTGCGGCTCCGTGAGAGGCATCCAGGGCTGCAGGCCACGGCGACAGGCTCCGGGGAACATGGGGCTTCCCCTGTCCCCTCCCAAGGAGTGTGGGCCTCAACGCATTGACAGGGGACAGCTGTGTGCCCTCTCCAGACCCCACCCTCAGCACCATTTATTAGAAATAATAAAGTTCTTTGTTAACTAGCGGTGCTGTTTCCTTTCTGGATGGGCCCGTGCCTGGTAGGCCAGGCTGTCTTGGGTTCCTCCCAGCTCCAGGCCTGGCCCTGTCGCCAGGAGGCACCTGCCCTGGTTGAGCTCTTGAGGCCCGGTGTTCCTATTCAGGCACTGTCACTGTCTTCTGACGAAGCAGCTGTGTCCCCCAGTCCCTGATGCTGACATCCCCAGATGCTTCTCTGCACTCAGTCCGCCCATGTCACCTGAAGCCCCATATGTGTAGTTGATCCCTCAATGTCATCTGCAGTCCTATTTGTCCACCAGGTCCCTGTCACCTGCAGCCCCGCCTGTGCATCTGGCCCATGACTGTCACCTGCAGCTCCAGCCGTGTACCTAGTCCCTGACCTGTCACCTGCAGCCGCTCTGTGCTCTGTCCTTGACTGTCACCTGCAGCCCTGTCTGAACACTCTGCCCCTGACTCTGTCATCTCTAGATGCTGCAGCCTGTGGATGTCCCATTTGCTGGTCCCTAACGTCTCCAATGGTGGGGCACTCAGCTCTTGCTCAAGACCACCTGAGATCTCAGAGGAGCGTGCTGACTTGGGCACAGTAAGCATGTCTAGTCCTGCTCCCCCACGGGGCACTGCTCACCACACTGAGCCTCCTGGCCCCAGCCTCAGTAACAGCACACGCCGGAGCCACCCTTGTTACTTTCTGTCTCAGTGATTTCAAAAATATCAGCCCTGGTGGATGTTTTTTTGTGTTGTTTGTTTTTGGGTTTTGTTTTTTGTTTTTTGTTTTGGGCAGAGTTTTGCTCTTGTTGCCCAGGCTGGAGTGCAGTGGTGCCATCTTGGCTCACTGTAACCTCTGCCTCCCAGGTTCAAGCGATTCTCCTGCCTTAGCCTCCTGAGTAGCTGGGATTACAGGCGTTTGCCACCATGCCCAGCTGATTTTTGTATTTTTAGTAGAGACGGGGGTTTCATATTGGTCAGGCTGGTCTCGAGCTCCTGACCTCAGGTGATCCAGCCACCTCGGCCTCTCAAAGTGCTGGGATTACAAGGGTGAGCCACAGCACCCGGCAGGTTTCTTAAAATGTTAAACCCACACCTGCCTACGACCCAGCCATTCCATGGTCTAGTCACTTACCCAAGAGGCATGAAAGCATGCCTCACAAACACTTGTGCACGAATGCTCATGGCAGCTTGATTTATAATTGCCGAATTTTAGAAACAACCCAAATATCAACAGGTAGAATGGATAAACACCATGATACAGCCTCATGAGGGAATGTTCAACAGCAATAAAAAGGAAAGAATTACTGACACATGCAACATGAATGGGTCTCAGAAACGTTACCCTGAAAAAAAAAAGCCAATAAAAAAAAGCCAACAAAAAATGCTACATATAATTTTTTTTTGAGACAGAGTCTCACTGTCACCCAGGCTAGAGTGCAGTGGCATGATCTTGGCTCACTGCAAGCTCCGCCTCCCAGGTTCACGCCATTCTCCTGCCTCAGCCTCCTGAGTAGCTGGGACTACAGGGGCCCGCCACCGCGCCTGGCTAATTTTTTTGTAGTTTTAGTAGAGACGGGGTTTCACCGTGGTCTCGATCTCCTGACCTCGTGATCCGCCCACCTCGGCCTCCCAAAGTGCTGGGATTACAAGCGTGAGCCACCATGCCCGACCAAATACTGCATATAATTCTATCCTTGATGAAATCCTAGAAAAGGCAAAATCTCAGGCCAGGTGCAATAGCTCATACCCGTACTCCCAGCACTTTGGGAGTCTGAGGCGAGTGGATTGAGGTCAGGGGTTCAAGACCAGCCTGATCAACATGGTGAAACCCTGTCCCTACTAAAAATACAAAAAAAATAGCCAGGCATGATGGTGCACACCTGTAATCCCAGCTACTCGGGAGGCTGAGGCAGGAGAATTGCTTGAACCTGGGAGGGGGAGGTTGCAGTGAGCCGAGATCCAGACTGGGCAACAGAGCAAGACTCTGTCTCAAAAATAATAATAATTAATTAATGAGGTGTGGTGGTGAGCTCCTGTAGTCCCTATTCAGGGGGCTGAGGTGGGAGGAACACTTAACCCAGGAGGTTGAGGCTGCAGTGAGCCATGATTGCACTTCTGCGCTCCAGCCTGGGCAATAGAGTGAGATCCTGTCTCAAAAAAAAAACTTGAATCTACCCTGACAGCAGATCCGAGGTTGCCTGGGGATGAGGGTGGGCGAGGATGGGGTGACAGGGGCACAGGGAAGCTTCTGGGGATGATATGGTTTGGCTGTGTCCCCACCCAAATCTTATCTCGAGTTGTAATCTGAATCGTAATCCCCAGGTGTCAGGGGAGGGACCTGGTGGGAGGTGATTGAATCATGGAGGTGGCGTCCCCCGTGCTGTTCTCATGATAGGGAGTTCTCACGAGATCTGATGGGAGTTCTCACGAGATCTGATGGTTTTATAAGTGCCAATTCCTCCCGCCCAAGATCATGAAGAAGGTGTTTGCTCCACCTCCTGCTCTGACTGTAACTTTCCTGAGACCTCCCAGCCATGCAAACCGTGAGTCAATTGAGCCTCTTTCCTTTATAAATTACCCAGTATCAGGTATTTCTTTATGGCAACATGAAACCAGACTAATACGGGGGGCAATGGATTGGCCCATCTTCTTTGTGGCAACAGCTTCACAGGTGTACATATCTATGTCAAAACTCATTGAAACCACACAGTTAAATGGATGCAGTTCTCTATATCCATCAGACCTCAGTAAACTAACAATGCCAGCTCTGTGCTCGGAGCGCCGCCTGGCAGGAACCCTGCAGCCTTTTCAGGTCCTTGTCTGTTCCTCCCAGTCCCCTCGGTCTTCATGAGAACCTGGGCCAGGTTCCCTCTGCACCATGGAGAATGGCGAGTGGGTGGAGGCACCCCCCACCATCGTCCCTGCCCGTCATCGTGCCTGGGAGGATGTCACTGCCACTGCCCCTGCACCCCAAGAGCACTGAGAGTGGCGTAGCCTTTGCTCCCTCTGTGTGGCATGCCTCACCTTGCAGGTCTGCCCTGGCCTCCTGCCTGGCCGCTCTGGCACTGCACAGTCAGTGTCCAAGGAGGGATGCAATTTAAGGGACCTGCCTTGAGGTCTGGCATCTCCTGGTGTTGTCTATTTGCTTCGTATGGTTGCTAATTGGCATTCCGTTTTTAGGCCTGATATAAGTTATTTGAGACCCAGTTGTATCCCATCATCTTTGGCCCAGGTAAAGCTTCCACTCCCAAGTGGTTGATTGTGATGCAGCTCATCTGTTCCTCATCCCAACAACCCCAAACCCAACACACCCACAGCTGCTGACCATGCTGAAACCTTCGGGCCAACACCCGCGTCATGAATGTTCTTTTCTCCTTCTCCCCTTTCCTTTTCCTGTTTCTCTCAACAGACTCTTGCTCTGTCACCCCGGCTGGAGTGCAGTGGTACAGTCATGGCTCACTGCAGCCTTAAACTCCTGGGCTCAAGTGATTCTCTTGTGTCAGTCTCCCAAGTAGCTGAAACGACAGGCATGCGCCACCACCCTCAACTAATCTTTAAAAAAAAATTTTGTTTTCTTTTTTTTTTTTTTTTTGAGGCGGGGGTCTCATAAGTTGCCCAGACTGGCTCAAACTCCTGGCCTCAAGTGATCTGCCCACCTTGGCCTCCCAGAATGCTGGGATTGCAGGCGTGAGCCACCACACCCAGCCCTGTTGTCCATTTTAACTGAAATGTCCTGACCAATAGTTTGCAGAAACGGCATTTGACTATTGTAGCCACAAACCCAGGATAGGATGTCTTCTGCATACAAGTGTGTGTGTGCACGAAAATGATTGCTTTCCTTTACCATAAACCGTCTTACAAGCTCCTGATGGCAGGAATGGGCCGTGTTTCCTGCTGTGTCACACGACGCTCAGCAGAGAGCTTGGCAGACCTTCAGTTCTCAAAGGCTTTTTCTCTCACCGGGGACAAGCACTCAGGTGACTGTGTCTGCCACACACTGTGCAGAGAGGCTGTTCCCAGACGCTCCAGCCCCTATTTCCACGTTACTGTTGCTCCAATGGTGATTGCGTGGGACTGCGTAGAATGCCAGAGTCCTCTTGTTCAAAGGCTGAAAAGCGAAATTTACACTCATGGATAGATGGGTGAGTTGGCAGTGACTGAAAATTAATGGGGCTGGGTGTGGTGTCTCATGCCTGTAATCCCAACAGTTTGGGAGGACAAGTCGGGCAGACCACCTGAAACCAGGAGTTCAAGACCAGCCTGGCCAACATGGTGAAACACCATCTCTACTAAAAATACAAAAATTAGCCAGGTGTAGTGGTGGATGCCTGTAATCCCAGCTACTTGGGAGGTTGAGGCAGGAGAATCGCTTGAATCCAGGAGGCAGAGGTTGCAGTGAGCCAGTTGCGCCACTGCACTCCAGCCTGGGTGACAGAGCAAGACCGTATCAAAAAAATAAATTGACCACTCACAGGAGCACATTGATCTCTACTGGGAGGTAAAGAACCACTATTTCTTTACAATTCTTTTCAATAGAGTCAGGGTTTTGTCACGTTGCCCAGACTGGCCTGGAACTCCAGGGTTCAAGTGATCCACCTGCCTTGGCTTCCCGAAGTGTTGGGATTACAGGCGCGCCCAGCCTACAACCAACCAACCTTCCTTTCCCTCCTTGCCCTCCTTGCCCTCCTTGCCCTCCTTGCCCTCCTTTCCCTCCTTTCCCTCCTTTCCCTCCTCTCCTTCCTCTCCTTCCTCTCCTTCCTCTCCTTCCCTTCCTTCCCTTCCTTCCCTTCCTTCCCTTCTTTCTTTCTTTTCCTTTTTTTTCTTTTTTTTTTTTGACAGGATCTTCCTCTGTCACCCAGGCTGGAGTGCAGTGGCATAATCTTAGCTCACTGCAACCTCCGCCTCCCAGGTTCAAGTGATTCTCCTGATCAGCCTCCCACGCAACTGGGATTACACGAGTGCACCACCCGGCCAGGCTAATTTTTCTGTATTTTTACTAGAGATAGGGTCTCACTATGTTGGCCAGGCTGGTCTTGAGCTCCTGACTTCAAGTGATTTGCCTGCCTCGGCCTTCCAAAGTGCTAGGATTGCAGGTAAGAGCCACAGTGCCTGACCTAAAACCACTATTTCTTAAAGCTTTGTGGTTAAAGTGATGACACCTTCTCCTCCTGCTGTGTCCTGGACATAGCTGGGGGCATAGCTGGGCATTTCTACACTGCCACAGGCTCACTGTCTGGTAGGTCTTCACTTGAGCCAAGCCAGAGGAGCAGGCCCAGGGTGACACTGGCCTTCACCAGGCTCAGTAGCAGAGCAAGGGAGATGTGGGAGGATCTAGAAAAGGGGTTTGGCTGGGTGCAGTGGCTCATGCCTGTAATCCTAGAACTTTGGGAGGCCAAGGCAGGTGGATCATTTGAGGTCAAGAGTTCGAGACCAGCCTGGCCAACATGGTGAAACCCCGTCTCTACCAAAAATACAAAAACTAGCTGGGCGTGGTGGTAGGTGCCTGTAATCCCAGCTACTGGGAGGCTGAGATGGGAGAACTGCTTGAACTTGCGAGACAGAGGTTGCAGTGAGCTGAGATCGTGTCACTGCACTCCAGCCTGGGTGATAGAGTAAGACTCAGTCTCAAAATAGAAAAGAAAAGGGGTAAGTATGGTAGTCACACCTGTAATCCCAGCACTTGGGGAGGCTGAGGTGGGTTGATTGCTTAAGTCCAGGCATTTTGAGACCAGCCTGGGCAACATAGCAACACCTCATCTTTATAAAAAAATAATACTAAGCCGGGTGTGGTGGCAAGGGCCTGTAGTCCCAGCTACTCGGGAGACTGAGGTGGGAGGATTGCTGGAGCCCAGGAGTTGGAAGCTGCAGTGAGCTATGATTATGCCATTGTACTCCAGCCTGGGCAACAAAGCAAGACCCCATCTCTACATAAAAATTTAAGAATTAGCTAGGCATGGTGACCTGTGCCTGTAATCCCAGCTACTCAGGAGGCTGAGGCAGGAGGATTGCTTAAGCCCAGGCATTTGAGGCTAGAGTGAGCTATGATCATGCCACTGCACTCCAGCCTGGGTTACAGAGCGAGACTTGATCTCTTTTTTAAAAAAAAAAAAAACTTAGGGCAGAACTGTGCAGAGGCAAGGCTGGGACAATCAGCTGAGCTCAGGTGGGGCAGGTGTGGCTGGTGGGGCTGGTGGTGGAGGAGCAGCCCGCACTGGGCCTGGGTGAATGTGCATAGTGCAGACATCAGGAGCAAGGGGGGACCCTGAATGGTGCAAGGAGAGGCTTCAGGAGATGTGACAGCTTCCCTGTCCCTTGGCTTCAAGCAACAATGTGGCTTAGGTGGCACTTTGTTTGCCTCCATGACCCCAGGCTGATAAAACCACCCAATCATATGGCAGCTACTTCTACCAGCAGGTGAATGTCCATCAGGTATCAGCAGGACCTGGCACTGGGACCCTCCTCTGCATCCCCGGTGTTTGCCTGAACCCCCAGACGGGCAGGGCCAGCTGCTGTTCCCGCGTTTGTGCTGGAGCTTGGCTCACACTGTTGCACTGCTTGGAATGCCAGCCTCTGTCCTCACCTCTGGTTCATTAGGAAGGAGAAAAGTGAGACATCATTGCAGAGCCTATAAGATAGTATCAACATTCTATGTCAACTTCTTTTTAATTTTTTAATTTGCTTTTAATTTTTTTTTTTTTTTTTGAAACAGAGTCTAGCTCTGTCGCCCAAGCTGGAGTGCAGTGGCATGATCTTGGCTCACTGCAACCCCTACCTCCCGGGTTCAACCAATCCTCCCACCTCAGCCTCCCAAGTAGCTGGGACTACAGGCATGTGCCACCACGCCTGACTAATTTTTGTATTTTTAGTAGAGACAGGGTTTCACCACGTTGGCCAGGCTGGTCTCGAACTCCTGACCTCAAGTGATCCACCCGCCTGGGCCTCCCAAAGTGCTGGGATTACAGGTGTGAGTTACCGTGCCTGGCCATGCCAATGAATTTAAATATTTGGATAAAACCAACAACTTTCTAGAAAATTACTGAAACTGACACAAGAAATTGAATCTGTAACTTAAAATCCCCCCACGATGGCCCAGCTTGGTGGCACATGCCTGTAATCCCAGCAGTTTGGGAGGCCAAGGTGAGAAGAACTCATGAGGCCAGGAGTTCAAGATCACCCTGGGCAACATAGCAAGACCCCCTCTGTCTCTACAAAAAATTTCCAAATTAGCCAGGCATGGTGGTGCATGCCTGTAGTCCCAGTGAGGAGGGAGAATTGTTTGAACACAGGAGGTTGAGGCTGTAGTGAGCTGTGATTGCATTGCTGTGCTCTAGCCTGGGTGACAGTGAGACCCTGTCTCTTTTTTTTAAGACTTTAGAAAATGGCCTTCTGAGGACCTGGCTCTGAACGAATGGGGGAACCTCTTCACCCTTCAGACCCACAGAATGGCAGGTTCCCTCTCCCCGTGGGTATTTCTGCTGGGGCTCTCTCTCTGGCCACCTGAAAGGTATGGAGCTCCTCAACTCCCTTCCAGTCTTCAGAAAAG